TGCCTTAAAACCTGATGGACTCAAAGTACTTAGGAGAATAAGTGCAAGCTCAGCTTCCAGTTTCAGACAGCCCTTTTAGTACATTTCCATTCCCAGAAGAAAGGAACAAGCAGCCACTTTCATACATACGTCTCGTGATGGGCACTCACTGCCTTTGACCACTGTGCCCGTCTCCCTGGAAAGATCTAGACTTTTGCTCTTTACCTACTTCCCACAATACCACCTGCCGCCCGTCTTCCTTCTCACAGTTCGATCTCTTAAGACTTGGCTTGCAAGTTCTGTTGTTAAAATGTTTAGGTTTATCCAGTAAGGAGACACAAACCGCGACTCAACGATTCCACGTGGAGTTCATTGGTGGACGGGGAGGGAAAGTGGGGTGAGAGGTAACCAACCCGTGCAGAGCAGAGAGAGAGATAAGATATGAGACAGAGAGAGAGACAGAGTAAGATGAGAGTAAGAGTGTAAGAGGGAAAGAGAGTAAGAGCAAGAGCAAGAGAGTAAGAGCAAGAGAGCATAAACGGGCAGGGGTCAGTCCTTTAAAGGGGTCCTTTGCACCTGCCTGGTTCTCACCGAACTCTGGGCTGGCCAGAGTGTTGCCTGAGCGCATCCTGCCAGGTAACAAGGCAGGCCGTCCAGGTAAGCTTAACTTTGAGTTCCACGGAGGTACCGTTCATCACATCCAGTGAGATGCTAAGCATACAGAGGACACTCAGAAAAACTTGACTCAGTGATTTTTATCTCATTTCATATGCACTCACCAAATACTTACCAACTAAATCCAACGCCCCAGAGTGTGAACAATACAGCAAATTATATGCAGCTAATAAGTTGAGTCAGCCTTGGAAATACCTAAGGCTACTGGGTCCTTGGAGTACTGGTGTTCCCAGCAGTGAATTATGGCTACTTCTGCAGGGAGCTGGAGGGCCTCTAGGAGCTTGACTACAGGGGTCCATTAACTATAGGTGTGCCCTTGGTCGTCCGAAGCCCTTTCCTTCCAGAGGACAAAATAGATATGGGCAATTAAAAAGGCATGTTTACAGTCAGTATAGATGTTAGACGGTTGATCCTTGGCTATCTGCAGTGCTCTAGGGTTGATCCTTGGCTATCTGCAGTGCTCTAGGGTTGATCCTTGGCTATCTGCAGTGCTCTAGGCAAGGTGATCAATTTGGCCTTTTGTGAGGCGGTTCCCTTTGGCAGACGGGTTGCTTCAACCATTTCCCTGGAAGTGACCGCCGCATGCGCTGCTCTTAGGGTTTCCTGATCTATCTATACGAGAACTTCCTTCAACAAACAGGTTGAGTTGGGGGTTTGTGAGTGGTTGTTCTAGGAGACCAGGCCTGGGTGAGCTTAAGGCCTTCAGAGCCTCTAGGGTGGCTGAGAGTCCCCGAGGGGGTCTCCCTGACTGCCTGGTGCAGAGACTTGTCTGAAATGGCAAAGCTAGGGATCCAGCGGCGGAAGAAGCCCACCAGGCCCAGAAATGAGAGAATCTGGGCTGCCGGGGTTGGGGGTTGTAAATCCTGTGAAGCTTGGACTCTGTCAGAGGCAAGAGTCTTAGACCCCAGACTGAATTGAACCACCAGATACACCACAGTTGGAGAGCATAGCTGAGCCTTAGCTGGTGAAACTCCATATCCCAGGGATCCAAGGAAGTTCAAGACTGAAGAGGTGGCCCTTTGGGACAGAGGCGATGTGGAACTGCAGAGGAGCTCATCAGCATATTGGAGAAGTGTGATAGGACCAGGGTCGAAGGTGGAGAGATCACGAGCCAAAGCTTGACCAAAGAAATGGGGGCCGTCGCGGCAACCCTGGGGGAGAACAGTCCATGTGAGCTGCCTGTACGACCGGGTGTCAGGGTTTTCCCACGAGAAGGCCAAGAGGAAGTCTGAGTCAGGGTGTAAAGGGACAGCAAAGAAGGCATCTTGTAGATCTGGAACAGATATGATTCTTCTGCCACACAGACCCTAATTTCTTCTTCCGAGCCCAGATCAAACTGCTGTCTGTTCATGGCTTTAATAACTCTTTTAAGAAACTCTTTACCCTCAATGATCTCTCAGTGTTCCTCTAGAACCCACGTCTGAGTGTTTTCAGGGTCCCATTGGAAAATTAAGGGTAACTCCCTTTCTTAAAATCTGGGACCTTGATCATGTATGCAAAACACCCTTGCCAAGCAGCATAACATGCTCACAGGCTCCAAAGTCTGCTTATAACCAGACCCCAGACCCTAGTATGCCCCCCGGAGCTGTGGAACATTCTTTTTGTACACTGTGAAGAAATGTCACTGATTGGTTTAATTAAAAGCTGAATGGCCAATAGCTAGGAAGGATTTCCAGGCACAGAGGACACTTGGAAGAAGGGGGGAGATGCCAGGGATGCAGAACAAACAGCATGGGCATTACAAAGTATAGTTAACGGAGCAGCATAAAAGAACATAGGTTAAAAGATATGGGTAATTTAAGTTATAAGAGCTAGTTAGAAACAAGACCAAGCTATTGGCCAAGCTTTCAAAATTAATGTCACTGTGTTGTGATTTGGGATTTGGCTTAGCAGGACAGAGAAAGACTCACTATACCTCCAGGCTTAGGGTTTGGGGGGAAATACGGGTGTTAGGAAGACACATAGCCAAAGCTTATCATGCCCCCATGGTTTACTGGTCCAAGCTTTCTGCTCTGGAAAAATACATGATTGCATCTGCAGTTTTGAAAGATGACTACCTGCAAGACACTGGGTTAGAGGTCAGTAACAAACGGTAGAACCAGTTTATGTGAGACTGGTAAACAGCCAGCTCTAAACTTAAGCAAGGAACACAAGAACACAGAGCTGAAGAAATTGCAAGAGATGGTGATGTAAGACCCATCACGCGTCATTACTATTAAAGGTAGGGCTACTGATGAGGAAGGAAATGAGGTATAGGAGGAACGGAAAGTTACATAGACATTCCCAATATAGGAAGAAAATGCGGGCATGTTCTGTTATCTGACTGGCTAACTTAAGGAATTAATGCAAACCAAGGGAGAGGCTATGGTAATGGACTCACTCCTTGACTAACATTTAGTTAGGTTCCTTTCATGCTGTCATCCCTTGACCTTCATGATAGGCCTGTCTGAGACCAGTGTTAGCAAGAATCATCTAGGTCCCGTAAAATGAGTCCCGACCCTTGGTAACTGGCCACTCTCAGCTGTCCTCAGCAAGGGTCTGAGTCTGTTCTGCAAGAACTGTTACCTTTGATATCATGTCACCTGTTTATAATCTTCCAGCCAATGACCGTCCCCTTTGCCTATTAGCTCCAAATCCCACTCTTGGTTGTGTCAGAACTCGGGGACCCGATAGCTCACTCTAGTAATAATTCTGAACAATCTTTTTACCATTTCAATCGTGTCAGGATATATATTTTTTTTTTTTGGTTTTTCGAGAGAGGGTTTCTCTGTGGCTTTGGAGGCTGTCCTGGAACTCGCTCTGTAGACCAGGCTGGCCTCGAACTCACAGAGATCCGCCTGCCTCTGCCTCCCGAGTGCTGGGATTAAAGGCGTGCGCCACCAACGCGTGTCAGGATATTTTAACAATGAAAAAAATCAAGAACTAAAGTTTCTCCCTAGCCCTTTTAAATTTTAATTGTGGAGTACAAATTTAACTACTGTATAGCGATTTAACAGCTAACACATTGCTAGGGTGGATACAACCAAACTTTTTGTGCTCCTCCCACAAAGCGTAGCATGCTGTCATTTTTTCTTTTCTTTTTTAGGGGAGTAGGAAGTGTCAAGGTCACCCTATGTCGACCAGGCAGGCCTCCAGTTTATAATCCCACTACATCGTTCATGCTGGTCCTCCTTCATTAAAAAGTCCGATGAGCCGGGCGGTTGTGGCGCATGCCTTTAATCCCAGCACTCGGGAGGCAGAGGCAGGAGGATCTCTGTAAGTTCGAGGCCAGCCTGGTCTACAAAGCAAGTGCCAGGACAGGCTCCAAAGCTACTCAGAGAAACCCTGTCTCGAAAAACCAAAACAAACAAACAAACAAACAAAAACACCAAAAACAAAACCCAGATGACCCTGGCAGCACATGTGAAGCCCTTCTAAAAAGGGCTTTGCGATCGTCTTCACGTTACAGAGCTACAGAACCCCACCACCCTCGAAGGTGAACTCTAAGCACCCTATCTGAGGTTCTAGTTAAGTAGCTAACACTAGACCTGTGGCAGGTTGTAGTTTGCCTCCCTGGTATGTAAAACCCGTCAGAATCCCGACGTGTCGATAACAGGACCATCGGTGAGTGGGGCAGTATCCGCTAACTTCCACAGGCTAATACATGACAGACCTGGTAGCTATGCTAGAAACAGACAAAGAGGAGGTGTCACCACTGCAGATCACAGGGGTCCAGCCCGGCTGCTCACGCCCAGACTGCAGCTAAAGCAGTTCCCGGGAACCGGGGGCAACAGAGAGCGCGCGCGGCTGTAAACGGAGGACGACCGGCAAGCAAGCCATCAGACAGATGCTCTGCTCTGAGATTCCAGCACTGAGAAATTAAAAGCCACGGACCTCCCCGCCACCGTGACAGCGGACCGCGTACCCAGAGCTCGCCCTCCGGCTCGCCACGCCTCTCTCAGCTCCGGCCCGCGTCCCGCCCGCTCCCTCCCACAGCCACGCCCTATCGTGCGAGCCTAGGAGGGCAAGAGGCAGAAAACCCCACCCAGGGGTGCGTCATTTCCGCCGGGGGCGGGGCGCGGCGCGGCGGAGGGCGGTGCTCGCCTGGCGGTCGTCTGTTTGGGTCCGGGGCAGCGGCGCGGAGGCCGAGCCAGACTCGGACGTCAGCGCCGGCCGGAGGCGAGTGGCGGCCGTGGCGCCTGTGACTGCCTGCGTCCCGGTGAGTGGCCGAGGGCCGGCGGGGGGTGGCGGGTGGCTTCCGCGGCGCGGGCGCTCCGCCGGGCGGTTCTGGGCCCCCCCCCCGGCGCTGGCCCGCTGGGCCCTGTCGCCCCGGGGCCGCAGGCGCGGCCCCCGGGTGTTTTGGTTAAGTCGCCTCCGGTCCCCGCCGCCGGTGCCGCCCCGCTCGCTGCTCCGCCGGGCTGCGCGCCGGGTCCTGGGCAGGGTGTTCTTCTGGCAGTTCACCGGAGACCCGGCGGTTGATCTGTTTGTTGTGCGTCGCCCTGGACCGGGCAGCACGCACCCCCCTTTTGGGGGGATCTGGATGTTTCTACTCCAGTTTTTCTCTTGGCTCCCCTGTGATCCTGTCCCAGACCGCGGCTGCTTTAAGCAGAATCAGATGGACGCGTCTTTTAGAGGATGAAGAAACTGCCTGAGTCATTAGGCTGAAGAGTCTCTCGCCCCTGTCATTTTCTGTCGTGATGCTTGGGGAGAAACCTGTTTCCACGCCCAGGACAGTGATAATTTTAAAGAAACGCGGTGACACTCCAAGGAATATCTTAGAGATGGATGTTGACGTAAGCGACTATCATAGAATACACTTAAACGTACCATTTTTTTTAATTTCCAAGAATAGTTGTATTCTGGAGCTGAATTCCTGATTCTATATATATTTCAGACAATCAAGATGGTGTATTACCACAACGAAATATAAAGAATGTTAAAAATTGAGGATTTTTATAAAAGTATGTTAGACTGAACTGAAAGCTTATGATTTCAGCGAGGCAGTTAATTGTATCAAATCCCATGTTGCTGTTTTGTGAAATTGGGTGTGCATATTAGCTGTACCTTCAATATACTAATGTTACTTCACAGTTTTTGCTGATCTATTTTTTTTATCTTCTCTATTTCTACATCTCATTTTAAAATCCTGTTAGCAGTGGCCCTCCTCATTAGTAATGTTGGATTAATGAAAGGGTCAGTTTCACTAATTCATATTAATAGGTGTTCACATGCAAAATTGATACAAGAACATCCTGTACTTGGCGTTGTTTTCCTCAGCCAGTAAAGACGGAATTTGTTGCTTCATTTGGGGCACATACCTTTGTAAAAAGGTCAGAGCCATACTCTTGTTTCATCTCAGTTCCAACTCTACACTCCGCATTTCCTGTATTTTATTCTGTTTAGTATCCGTTGCTTTAAAAGGTGATTGCTGAATTTTATAGACATCTTTTCCTTCAGTGCTTTTTGGCTTGCCTTTTCTTCCTGTCCCTAACTTTGGATGCCACTCAACGTGCTGCCCAAATCAAGAGCTTAACTTTTGAAACCAAAGTCGTACTAATGGGCCCATGGATACCCTGAAATGTCAAGGAAAATATAGGGTGTGTTTGTAGCTAAGCGTTGTTCTTTGTCGTTAGGTACTGTGCATCCAAATACTGTAGGCATCCTTTGGTAGACCTTGACTTCACCGGTTCAATTGTCACTGTGCAGATTATTTCATACATAAATGCAGTCTCTGTGCATTTCTATTTCAGTGCCCTATGATTACTTAATTCTGTAACTCCAAGAGAAAAAGCCAATTTTCTTTATATTCAAATGTCCCCTTTGCAGGTCTCATGTTCACAAGTGACATTTGCCCTCTGTGTCTGATTTGAAAGCTTAAGAGTTCTCTTGGCAATTTTTCCTTATTCCACTGGTGCTTGTCACCTCATCCTGTTTTTCTTTCTAAAAAATATATTTATCTTAGTTATGTGTATATGCATGTGTCTGTTTGTAGCTAATGCTAACATGAGTACAAGTGTCTTAGATACCAAAAGAAGGTGTTGGATCTCTTGGGGAGTGCAGACAGGTGTGAGCTGGAAGCTATAGCGGCCTGATGTCGGTTCTGGGAATGGAACTCTAGCCCTCTGGAAGAAGAACACACACTCTTAACCACTGAGTCATCATTGCAGCCCCATCTCTTTCTTATATATATATATATATATATATATATATATATATATATATATTTTTTTTCCTGGATCCAAAATGTGGCTCATTTCTTCATTCTTGCTCTATTACTGTATTCAGACCCTTGTTGCCTTTTTTTTTTAACTGCATAGTTGCCATTATTAAATGACTATATGTGTATATTTGGGGGTTTTTCTTTGGGCGGGGTGTGAGGGTTGAGACAGGATTTCTCTTTGTAACCACTCTGCTTGTCTTAGCATTCACTCTGTAGATCAGGCTGGCCCCGAACTCACAGAGATTCACCTGTCTACCTCCTGAATGCTGGGATTAAAGGCGTGCGCCATCTATGCCCAGCTCTGTATGTATATTCATTCGTCCACAGTTGGACCTACACCTAGCATTTCCTTTAGTCCCTTACTGTCCTTTAGTTGAAAGTCCACTCCTTTCCCTGGAGAACTGTCTCCCACTCTGCTGCTTACACCTTCACTGCGTTGATAACCAGCTCGGTTCTTCCTTGCTGTTGTCCCGGTTCCTAGCAGTCCTCACTTTTTCTCTCTTCCCTGCTTTTACTGTGTCTTTTGTTGAATTTCCTCTCCAAACATTTTCTAATGCTGACATTGATTCAGTAGCAGTGGAACTTGTTGCTCATTTCTGTGTTAGGTAATGGTTGATTGATAGTTGTGGTTTCTCATAGGTATAATTATCGTCTCATTTTGCTCACAAGATCGTCTTTCTGTAATGCTTTCTACTTTGGGGGCTTTCTATTCTGTATATTGGTACCAAATTGATAGGTGTATATTCATAATTAGGTGATTATATTTTTAAAACTTTCTAAATCACTTTGTTCTCTCTCTCTCTCTCTCTCTCTCTCTCTCTCTCTCTCTCTCTGTGTGTCTGTGTGTGTGTGTGAATGTGGGTATGCAGACATCTCAGGAATTACATCTTTCTTTCCACGATGAGTTGCAGATATTGAACCCGATCATCTAGTTGGCATGGCAAGTGCTTTTACCTGGTGAGAGAGACTGTTGGAAAAAAAAAACAATGCAGACTGTATAATCATAGTCTAGATCTGTCTCACTCTCTTCTGCCTCAGTCTTGGACTGGCCATTGTGAATCTCACATGCCTTCAAGCACCTTCAATATAAAAAGCTCATTATGTCACCAGAATGCTGCTTGCTTCTCTTCTGTCTAGAATTTTTTTTTAAATCAAGATTCTCACAAGAACTCATTTCCTCACTTCATTCAGGGAGCCACTAAAATGCCAAAGTATCAATTCTTGTGACTGTCCCATATGTTAGTATTCTTTGTGCCCTTCCTTTTCTGCTTTAACTCATGACACTATTTATTGTGAGCACAAACTAATTAGTGTGTATCTATTAGTAATTGTGGTGATCTACAACTGTCTGAAGTTGAACGAGTAAATAGGTCATCCTCTTACTGTTATCTTGTGTTAAGTATTTCCCTTAACTTTGCTGTAGGAGGTTTTTGTTTTTACTGTCTAGGACATCATCATTCCCAAACCTCTCTCAATCCTTATCAGTAGGTTATAGGTATAAAAGATTCACTTCCAACATTTTAGTCTCCTTTAGTCTTTGTCATCTTTTTTTTTTGTGTGTGTCTCCAGTGTATTTATTCTTTCTGTTCTCTCTGGACATTTAGCCTTACTTAATTTCTAAATTAAGTCTTATTTCTAAACTTGCTTGCACATTTTCCTGTTGGCTGTATGTGCGGATCCTCTCTCTAGGTGATAGTTCATTTCATGGCATGTTTTGTAATCTTTCTGAGTTAATGTTCATTGGTGGTTGCCCTTGTCCAACATTTGGGAAGTGACTTCACATTGGAGTTTTAGTTGTCTCTGCTGAAATTCCGTGTAATTAACCAGCTCTAACCAGTTTTCGTTTGCATAGTGTCTCAGCACTATGATGGTAGTAAGTCTGTAGATCCAGGCCTGTAGGTTTACCTTGTACTGCTTTTAAGCATGGCTTTTGTTCATACTGGATTCGTGTAGCTGGAGCCCAGGGCTTTCTACATGCTAGATAAGGAAGTACTCTGTCAGCTGAACTACATCCCAGCCCCACAGCGTGACTTTTTATCTCCATGTACTTTATCAGGTATTTCTGTGTGGTGGGAGATGCCAGTTTTTATGCCAACTGAACTTAATCACATTCACTGCAAGTCCCATGAAGCTCAGAAGATGGAGCCAGAAAGGCAGACAGGCTTTTCTATCCTTCCTCTGTACAGTAAGCGTGTTAAAAGTCATGTGTGAGCCTACAATGTGGAGCCATCTCATCGGCCCAGTTTTCCAATTTGCTACAGTGGTTGTATTTAACATGTATTTCTAGCCGGGCGTTGGTGGCGCACACCTTTAATCCCAGCACTCGGGAGGCAGAGGCAGGCGGATCTCTGTGAGTTCGAGACCAGCCAGGTCTACAGAGCGAGTTCCAGGACAGCCTCCAAAGCCACAGAGAAACCCTGTCTCAAAAAACAAACAAACAAACAAAAAAACCCCATGTATTTCTAGTCTCTCAAGAACCAGATGCATTGGCTTACTTCTTGACCCTTTGTTATGTTCCACCTATTGGTATGTCTGTTGTGTGCTAATACTGTAATGTAGTTACAACTCTAGAGTCCATCGTAAAATCAAATATGTGATGCCGCCAACATTGCTGCTTTTGCTCAGGATTACTTTGGCTATCTTGAATTTTAGGAGTTTTTTCCACTTAATAAAGAATATTGTTGGTACTTTGTTGGGGATGCATTAAATCACTCTGTCTTTTTGTAATACGGGCATTTTAATTATATTGATAGTGCTGCTTTATGACTATAGGCGGTCCTTCTACCTTACAGTGTTTTAATTCCCTTTTCAGTATTTTGTATTTTTTACTATAGAGGTCTATTATCTGCTTTGGTTTACTTCTATGTATTTTCTTTGGTGTTGGTGGCTATTGTGAACTGAATTAATTTTCTATTTTTTTCTTAGCAAGTTCATTGTTGGTGCATAGGAAGCCACTGATGTAGACCAGTGGTGCAAGTTGTAAACTTCCTACCAGGAAGCTGAGAGAGTAGGATTACAAGTTCAAATCTAGCATGGGTACAGAGTGAATTCAAGATCATCCTGTTCAATTTAAGGAGCCCATCAAATAAAAAAGAGCTTGAGCATGTATCTCAGTGGGAAAGAGTATGCTTAGTATGCAAGAAACCCTAGGTTCAGTCCCCAGTACTAGGAGAAAGGTGGGGGTGGAGGGGTGTAACATGAATAATAAAAACCCAGAGATGGATATTGGCATTCAAGGTGGAGATGAAAAAAGCAAAAGAGCCAGCCGCTAGCTCTTAACCTCTATGAAATCCTCAGACTGAAAGGAGAGATCCCACCTCCATGAAATCTCAGACAACAATTCTCTGAGATCCTATCTCCTCCCACCCTATGTTCTTCTGCCCAGCCTTATCACTCCAGTCTTCACCTCCCTAGTGCTGGGTGGTGCTCTCATGTAGCCCTGGGTGACCTTGAACTCACAGAGATCCATTTGCCTTTGTCTTCTGAGTCCTGGGATTAAAGGTGTGTGCCACCACTGCCTGGCTGCTGTGGCTGTGGCTAGCCTTGCGTTCTGATCTACAGGCATAAACAATATATCACCATGGAGTGATGAAGAAGAGGAGAAAGTGTGAGAGTGTGTAGGTGGCAGGCTCTTCCCGATCTTTGTGGGTTCATTTGGTATCCCACTACTTTGCTGAATTATCATATCAGAGCTAAGGGGTTTCTGTTGCTGATTTTAAGGTCATCTAAAATATGATTTTAAGGTCATATAAGATATGTCATGTATAAAGAATGATAATTTGACTTTTATTTCTTATGTTGACTTCATTATGCTAAGATTTCAAATAACATACTGAATAAGAGAGGTGAGGATGGACACAATCCTCTCATTCCAAATTTCAGAGGAAAGGCTTGTAGACTTTCCCTATTCAGTGTGATGTTGGCTGTACATTTATGTTGTGTAGACTATTATTTTGAGGCTTGATCCTTTCTTATTTAGTTTCTTACAGACTTTTCTCATGAAGGGATGTACAAGCTTTGTTATTGGCTGCCAACTCACAAACAACAACATGACATGGAGACTTATTATGAAAGCCCGGCCTTAGTTTAGGCTTGTCCTACTAGCTCTTATTACTTAATTTTGAAAGCTTGGCCAATAGCTTACGCTGGTTTCTAACTAGTTCTTATAACTTAAATTAACCCATATCTTTTAACCTATGTTCTTTTATGTGGCTCGGTTAACTATACTTTGTAATGCCCATGTTTGTTCTGCATCCCTGGCATCTCTCCCCTTCTTCCGAGTGTCCTGTGCCTGGAAATCCTTCCTAGCTATTGGCCATTCAGCTTTTTTTGTTTTTGGCTTTTCGAGACAGGGTTTCTCTGTATTGTTTTGGATGCTGTCCTAGAACTCGCTCTACAGACCAGGCTGGCCTCGAACTCACAGAGATTCGCCTGCCTCTGCCTCCCAAGTGCTGGGATTAAAGGCGTGCACCACCAACGCCAGGCTTGGCCATTCCGCTTTTAATTCAACCAATCAGTGACATTTCTTCACAGTGTACAAAAAGAATGTTCCACAGCTCCGGGGGGCATACTAGGGTCTGGGGTCTGGTTATAAGCAGGCTTTGGAGCCTGTGAGCATGTTATGCTGCTTGGCAAGGGTGTTTTGCATACATGATTAAGGTCCCAGATTTTAAGAAAGGGAGTTACCCTTAGTTTTCCAATGGGACCCTGAAAACACTCAGATGTGGGTTCTAGAGGAACGCTGAGAGATCATTGAGGGTAAAGAGTTTCTTAAAAGAGTTATTAAAGCCATGAACAGACAGCAGTTTGATCAGGGCTCAGAAGAAGAAATTAAGGTCTGTGTGGCAGAAGTCTCATATCTGTTCCGGACCTACAAGATGCCTTCTTTGCTGTCCCTTTACACCTTGACTCAGACTTCCTCTTGGCCTTCTCGTGGGAAAACCCTGACACCCAGGCAGCTCACATGGACTGTTCTCTCCTAGGGTTTATGTCATTAATGTCTAGAAATTTATCCATTTTCTTTTAGATTTTCCTAGTGATTGGAATATAATTTGTCAAAATATTCCTTAATGATCTGTATTTTAGTGGGATGTGCTGTAATAGGGATATTACATGGTGTTATTTGCCTCTGGTTTTATTGACTTGCATATTCTTTGTCTTTTGGTTACTTTGACTAAGGCCTTATCACCTCTGTTTTCTTTTGAATGAACCAACTTTGTCCCATCAGTCCTTTGTGCTCTTTTTGTTGCTGGACTTTATTATTTTTCTCCTGGTAACTTTGAGTTTGGCTTCTTGTTTTTCCAAGATCTTGAAATATATTGCTAAGTTATTTATTTGTTTCTACTCTGATTTCTAAATGTGGGTGTTCATAACTGTGTGCTCTTTAAACTTATTTATGGTATATTCTATATGTTATGGTAAGTTGAATTTTCATTTTCACTTGATTTTATGAGTTGACCTTCCCCTTCTACAAGGACCCATTAATAATTGAAAAGTACATTTTCTAATACCCATGTTTATTTTTCATGTTTCTCTTGCTGTTTATTTCTATGTTTCTTCCATTATGATCTGATAAGATACAAGAATTTTTAAAAGTTGGTTAGGATTTGCTTTGTGACCTAAAATATGGTGTGTTTTAGAGAAAGTTCTTTGGGTTGCTATGAAGAATGCTTTTCCACAGTTGTGGGTGAAATAGTCCTCAGAGTTATGTTACATTTAACCTTTGGTCAAGTTTTATTCTGAAGCTTCTTTGTAAATTTGAGCCAGTTCTGAAGTATTCTGAGTAGGATATTAAAGTCATCTGCATTATTGTATCAGAACTTACCTGTTTGCTATGACCATTGGTGTCTCTCCATTTTTATGAAGTTGGGTGCACCAAGATATACTCATATATATTACACTGGCTACATGCTATTAATGGATTATCCCTTTTTATAGAGTAACTTTCTTAGGACTAATTTTTGACATCAAGCCTTCTTTGTAAGTTATGAACTAGCTTCCTTTTCTTGCTTTCAGATACCTTTGCTTGAATATCATTTTCCATCTTCTTACTTTCAATTCATGTTTGTCCTTGACGATGAAGAAAGTTTATCGAAAAGAGTTTTTTTCTTTTAAATTGGTAAGTCTTGTTTTTGTTTTGTTTTGTTTTCATTTTTACTTAGTGGGTATAGAACTGAAGACAAGGACTGCTCCCCTCCAAGCCATCAGTAGCCAGTAGTTCACCAGGGATAGGTAGAGCCCCCATTATCTTTGATTGACTGTTAGTGTATCCAGTCTTGTGTCCTTGAAGCCACTCCCAAATAAATGGCAGGGAAACTTTTTACTAATTATGAAAGCTCGGTTGATAGCTTCTGCTTGTTACTAGCTAACTCTTACATTTAAATGAACCCATATTTCTTATCTACCCTCTGCCACATGGTGGTACCTTTTTCAACACATCACATTCATCTAGCTTCTCTCCTGACTCCTCCGACTCTGCCCTCCTTCCCAGCATTCTGTCTGCCCTGAAAATCCTCCCTAGCTATCGGCAGTCGGCTTTTTACCAACAATGAGAGCAACACATTTTCACCGTGTACAGAAGGGTATTCCACAGCAGTGTAGGTCCGTTACAGGCAGAGGTCATGACTGTTGGCTGCACTCTGTCTGGAAGACAGCCCTTCACAGTCCTCCCTGACTTTGGCTCTTACTCTGTCTAGCCTAAGAGTAGGTAGTACAAATGTCCTGTTTAGGGATAAGCACTCAGCTGTCACTTATTGTCAGCACCTTTGTTCATTGCACTGTTCTCTGCACCAGTTTCTGGACTGTTGTCCATTGCAAAGAGAACTTTCTCTGATTAAGGCTAGGAGCCTATGAATGTAAAAATAAATGTTTTCAGATTTTCTAATGTCTATGTCAACGTTCTTGGCTCAACCTGCCACCACTGGTTATAATAATAAGTCTCCAATCCAAACCTGCACCCTTTTTATTCATTCTCTCCCTCCTGGGAAAGAGTAGCCATTTGCTAGTTCCCTCAATTATTCAAAGGGTCAAATACATTTTCATGCAAAACTGCGGTTACAAAATTAACATTTAAAACTTTTTGGCTCTTTATATGTTTGTCTCCCTTATGTGTTCTTATTATCCTCCCACAGGAATGTAACATTCTGTAACTCAAACTGTTCTGAGAACAAAAAAAGAACTAAAAAAAAAAATCCAAGTAGCAGTTAAGTTTACCTGGGACCTGCAGCAGCTAAGAGTTGTATAGCTTCACAGTGTGAACATGTGTCTTTAGGTTATATCCTAAGTGTAATGTGGAATTAACTCTCCTTTAACAAATTTAAAATTCATTTAGTATATTGATTGCTTCAGCTCATAACATTAAGGAAAGATTCTTTTTTTTTTTTTTTTTTTTTTTTTTTTTTGGTTTTTTCGAGACAGGGTTTCTCTGTGGCTTTGGAGGTTGTCCTGGAACTCGCTTGGTAGTCCAGGCTGGTCTCGAACTCACAGAGATCCGCCTGCCTCTGCCTCCCGAGTGCTGGGATTAAAGGCGTGCGCCACCAACGCCCGGCCCTAAGGAAAGATTCTTATATTGTAAAGTAAAATTATCATCCTAAAGTATGTCATTTTTACTTGTAATATTAAGGGAGGATTTTTGTATTGTAAAGTAACATAGTTAACCTAAAAACAAACCTAAAAGACCAAAATATGTCATTGAAAAGTTTGTAAAAGCTAAACTGCAAATATAGTCTATGCTCATTATATTTATTTATATGTTATTTAAAGCTCCCTGGGTAAATATTAAATACACTAATATGAAATATAGCTTATGGGCTAGCAAAATGTCTCAGTGGATAAAGCACTTTCCCCCTATCTTGGTAACCTGAGTTTGAGCTCCAGAGAATATATAATAGCAGGAAAGAATCAATTCCCTCACGTTGCCCTCTGATATGCACACATTCTTACACACTAAATAAGAAAATTTAAAACTTTTAACTTTTTTATTTAAAAAATGCTTTGGTTTACAAAAAAATGACATAGAAAGCAAGGGTTTCATATTTTATCCCTTTATCAAATGGGATAATTAAAATTGAAAAAATTATATTTTATCCAAATGACTGTGACACAAGGATATGGTGATGTGTTAGTACTAGTCTGTATGTTTTTCCAGTGGGCTAAAACATTCTCTTGCTGGCAAACTACATCCTTAGCAGAAACAAAAATTCTGAGAGGAAGAATTATTCCTACTGGAGGCATTCCTGTTAAAGTACATAATTATTAGGAAATTCACTTTAGTGAACAAATATTTAAGTCTTCTTATAAAATTTGGCCTATTATACAAAATGTTATTATTCAGTCTTCTGGGTTACTTCTACTAACAAAGGGCTCTACAAAACTTTTCATTGTCAGAATTGACGAAAACTTTTGATGTCCTTAGCCAAAGACAGTATTTTCAATGTAAGATCTACACCTTTTTGAAAATATCAGTTTTCTTCTTACAAAATAATTACTGCATTTTAAGAAAATAAAGACTATCTGGGCAGTGTTGGCACACGCATTCGATCCCAGCACTCAGTAGGCAGAGACAGGAGGAGCTCTATGAATTCGAGGCCAGCTAGGTCTACAGAGCAAATTTCAGGACAGTCAGGGCTACAAAGAGAAACCCTGTCTCAAAAAACCAAAAAGAAAAAGAAAGACTAGAGCCATTTTTGCTAAGTATACATTATTGCAAGGGATTTCTAAATATAAATTTCAAAATTCAAAATTAATTAGTCTGGCTAGACGTTGGTGGCACATGCCTTTAATTCCAGGACTCGGGAGGCAGAAGCAGGAGGATCTCTGTGAGTTTGAGGCCAGCCTGGTCTACAGAGCTAGTGCCAGGATAGCCTCCAAAACAATAGAGAAATCCTGTCTCGAAAAACAAACAAACAAACAAACAAAAAAAATTACTCTGTGAGCTGCCAAAATACAAAGAACTAAGTGAAAGTAGGGTAAAACTAAGGGATTTTGTCAATTAAAAGATGTAACACAAAAGATTTCCTTCAGGCTGTGTATAGAATTGGGACTGGAGAGATGGCTCATTAGTTAGGAGCTTTTTGTGTGTAATGCTTTAAAAATTGTCTGATATACTTAAAATTCCCTTTGTATATTTTCCTGAATGCAAAAACAGTGCTATTCTTGGATCTAGCAAACTATAAAATGAAGGTCATGCTGTTATGTCCTCTTACTAATGATGGTTTTTCTGATTACTGTTTACTTGGTCAGATTTTCATGAGCACTGGGTATGCACATGGTTCGCATACATACATGGTAAACATCCATACACATAAAATAAAACTACTTATGTTTATATAATATACACATCGTTTTATTTATTTCAGATACAGAAAATACAAGAAGAAAGAAAAAGTCAGACCTCCACCCTGGTGTCTGATAGATTTGATGTATCCAAGGATTTATTCCTTAATGGCTTTGCCAACAATTTCATGAATACTTACTTCCTGTCTCTTTACTCAGCCTCACCTTTATCAGATGGTAGAAGAGAAATGAGCTTTCTTAATAGTTGGCCTGCAAGGGTAACCCTGAACTGAAGTTCCCAAAAGGAAACCACTTCCTTAAAGATGTACGAGGTTGAATGATTGATAGAACTTTAGGAAAGTAAACAGACTATGCAGATCCAGGATTGTCTTAAGAGTTTCTGTTGCTGGGCTCAAACACCATGACCAGGGCAACATGTAAGCCAAATATCATCATCAAAGGAAGTCAGGACAGGAACTCAAAAAGTGCAGAAACCTGGAGCAGGGGCCGATGCAGAGGCCATGGAGGGGTGCTACATACTAGCTTACTTATCATGACTTGGTCAACTTGCTTTCTTACAGAACCCAGGACCACCAGCCCAGGGATAGCACTGCCTACCATTAAATTACTAATTAAAGTACCCCACAGGCTTGCCTACAATGCAGTTTTATGGGGGCAGTTTCTTAATTGAGGTACCCACCTCTCAAATAATTTAGCTTGTGTCAAGTTGATATAAAACTATGTTTCAAGGATCAAAGCTAAAAAGTAGGCTGGTTTTAGTTTCTTTGAAAGGCATTTATTGCCCAGCCCCATGTCTGACCAAAGCATTTAAAATGGTTATTTGAATGAGAATGGCCCCCATTGAGTCATGTGTTTGCATACTTGGTTCCCAGTTGCTGGAACTGTTTGAAAGGATTAGGAAGTGTGGTCTTGTTGGATATAGTCACTGGGGCTGGCTTTGAGGTTTCAAAAACCTATACCATTCCTAATTAGCACTGTCTTGTGTTTGTGGATCAGACACAGATTCTTGTGTTAGTGATTGTAAGCTCTCAGCTACTGATCCAGCACCGTGCCTGTATATCTGTTGCCGTGCTCTCCATCTTGATAGTCATGGTTTCTAACCCTCTCAAACTATAAGCTCCAAATAAACTTCTATAAGTTGCTTTGGACACAGTGTCTTATCACAGCAACAGAAAAGTAACTAAGACAAACTTGGTTACCAGGGAGTCAGGTATTGATGGTGGGCCTGATCATACTGGGTTTTTTTTGTTTGTTGGCTGGTTAGTTGGTTTTTGTTTTTGAGGAACAGGGAAGAGATTGGGAGTTTGGATTAGGAATACAATAAAATGCTGTAAGGAGGGTTTAACAGACCATCCTAGTAGAACCTTTTGATACAGTAGTGCCACCAGCAAGTAGATTATGGTGGCTTGGCTCAGGAGGTTCAGAGGAAAACAATATTAGCAACTGGCCTAGCGAGCACTCTTGTGAAAAATGGGGTTGCATTCTGCCCTTGTGCTGAAAATTTTCCTGAAGCAAAATTGAAAAGCAGTGGATTACTTTCCTTGGTGAAGATATCAAGCCTGCCTAATATTGGCTCTGTCATAAGGTTACTTGTAATCACTCCTATGAGGATCTATAATGAAAAAGAAATAGATGGAAAATGCATAGTTTGAAGCAAAAATGAGCACCAGGAAATTTAACAATGGAACCCAGGTTTGTGCTGAAACAGGAAAAGTTAAAGGTCTCTTCCAAAGTGGAATAGAGGGAGGGATGCCCTCAGGGTAGGCACCCAGCTATGCTTCACACTTGTAGAAAGGAAATGCCTGAGGAATTTCTGCCTCTGTAAAGCAACTACAAAGGGAATCATGCAAATGTGATTCAATGGGACCAGGCTTCCTCCCATGTGGACAGTCAAACTTCATAGTGTCAGTGTCACCCAGATAGTTGGGCTTTAGGGTCATGAAGGGCACATGAGTGAAGGGGTTGTGGAATTTTCTTCCATGGTTAAGAACCGTTGAGACCAGGCAACATGTGACAGAGTAGGGTCTGCATGATGCCCCAAGAGGACAAAAGTCCCTGAGAGTCCCACTATGTGAAGTTAGGAAAGTGAAACCAGGATTGCATTATTGCTTTGAAACCTCCTCAAGATGCTGGAGATACCAGAGTCATGAGACATATGCCAAGGAGAGCAATAGACGGAGCAGGACCCTCCCAAGGAAGAGAAGTGTGTTGCAAAGTTGGAAGAGAAGAGCCATGTAAGCCCCTTTGGCATCAAACTTAGCTATAGTTAGTATTTGGAGTTTGCCCTGCTGAGTTTTGGTCTTGCTTTGGCTTGTATTTCCTCACTGCTCCCCCCTTTTGGAATGGTAATGTTTATTCTGTGCTATTGTATGGTGGAAGTATATGTAACTTGCTTTTTGCTTTAGATTTTACACGGGTAACAATTGCCTTGAGTTTCACAGGAGACTTTGGACTGAAAGATTATGGGGACCTTTGAAGTTGGACTAAATGGATTTCAAATTATGATATGGCCAAAAGTCTTTGATTGGGGGGTGGTGATGGAATGTGGTGGTTTGATGAAAATGACCTCCTATTGAGGGACCAAAAATTAAAATTAATAAAAGTTTAAAAACTTGGGTCCTAAATCTATATAGAGAAAGGAAATTTCTAATGGTAAAGGAAAATTCAACTCCTTAAATCAGGAGTGCCATGGCTGGCACCTGAGCCCTGCTCTCAGAGAAGGGGAGGTGAGTGTCCACCACTCCTGTTAACATTTCCTTTGCTAATTGCTGGTCATAGAAGTCCTCTGCCAGTTGTAAAGATCCCCACCCCAGGGGATAACTGTAACTGACAGACCCTGTGACCCCATAACCCTGCAAGCTCATGTCCTGTCTTATCTTACTCAAATGTATCTTGCTTAAAATATATAGTTACTGCTTGACTCTGTACTTTGTATGATCTTAAGTAATCATAGAAACCCTGAAATTTGTGGCCTTCAACCTTATGGTCTGCCCCTTTAAAAGCATCTCCTTTTGACTGGTTGGCATCTCATTTCCCCAACACGCAGTGAGATCCAAGCTGGCCAGCTTGAACAACAACAAAAAAGAAACCTTTTGCTTTTACATCAGAGTGTCGACTCTTTGGGTTAGTCTCTGGTCTTCAAGAACCTGGCACGACACTTTACTGGCTCATATATTTGAATACTTGATCCCTAGTATGTGAAACTGTTTGGCAATGATTAAGAGGTGTGGCCTTGTTGTAGGAAGTACATTAGTGAGGACAGACTTTGAAGTTTCAAATGCCTTTCCTACTCCCAGTTAGCTCTCTCTGCTGCCTGCTTATGACACAAGCTTGTGATTTGAATGATAATGGCCTCCACAGGCTTATATGTTTGGTCCCTAGTTAGTGAAACTGTTTGGGGAGGGTTAGGTGGTGTGGTCTTGTTAAAGTATGTCACTGAGGTAGGCAAGTTGCCTTTTTCTTGGTCATGGTGTTTTGTCACAGCAGGAGTAATCCTAACTAAGGCAGAACTCCTAGCTATTCCTGCCACCATGCTTTGGTTTGCCATGGACTTTTAACTAACCCTCTGATACTGCAATCCCCAAATTAAGCACTTTCTTTTATAAGTTGCCTTGGTCATGATGTCTTACCACAGCAGTAGGTGAATCCAAAAGCTAAGAATGTTCTAAGAAACACTGAAATCTGTATTACAGTTTTACCTGCTGTTCGGTATTCTGTTTTCCTGTGGTTCTCTGTAGGGATCCAGGTCTCAATACTGTGATTCATGACTTTCTTTTCTCTATCACTACTAATATCTTACATAACCATACCTACAGTGGTCAACCTGGATCTTATGTCCTCAGACCATACTCAGTCACATTCGGCTCAAGAACAAACTGTCTAATTCTCTTTAAGGCTAAAGCTTTGTTTTGTGTTGACTCACTTCCTTACATCTCAGGTCTCTTCACAGGAAATAGCATCTCCTTGGTTGGTCTGGTTTTTCTCCATCATTAAAAAAATTAATAAACTTTAACTTCGATTTAAAATGTACTCAGATCTTGGGTGGTTGTGGCACACACTTGACATTAATCCCTGTACTATGGATGCAGAGGCAGGGCTATACAGAGAAAATCTTGTCTTGAAAAAACTAAGTAAATAAATTAAATTTCATCAGATTTTTGTCAAGTAACTTCTGTATCCTATTTTCTTAGCCCATTATCAACAATGGATAGCACTTGTATTTTTCTTAAATGCTACCCGTCCCCCATGCCCATTACTAGAAATTGATTCTGTGTTCTTGCGTACACTAGGTGAAGTATGTCTCAGATACCCCTGAGGTATGTCTTCAGTCCACATTTTTACCAGTTAAAAGGATAGTGCTTTTGTTGTTGTTTTTTTTGTTCAGTATCTCATCTTGAAACTGAAGCTGCTTGTCACCACGAAGCTCGTACTAGTCTTGAATTTGTAATCCTCTTTGCCCAAGCCTTCTGAGTGTTCAGATTGCAGACATATACCACCCAAAATATGTTTTATTTGTTGCTTTTTTATTTTATAATCTTTTTATGATTTTACTGACATTTTTCTGTGAATGGCTTATTTATGTCTCTTGTCCATTTTAGACTATTCCTATTTACATCTTTTTCTCTATTGCAGTTATGACCACTTGTAAACTGCTACACATAATTTCTGATGTGATGTGCATGTGTGGACAGGCTAGAAGTCAACATCTGAGGCCATCTTTTGTGACTCCCCACCCTATTCTTTGGAACAGGATCTCTCACCTAATCATTGCTTACCACTGGCTAGCCTGGCTGGCTAGTGAGCACCTGGATTTCTCCTGTCTCTTCTGCCCCCACACCAGGGGAGTTAAAGTGGAACTTGGGTCCTCATGCTTACACAGCAAACACCTTACCCACTGAGCCATCACCCATCTCCCTTGATTTAATGAGACGTTAGAGAAATTAGAGAGCCTCTGTAATGAGCAGTTATTACTAGATAAGGGAGATGATAGTCCTGACATGGCCATTTCTTGCTCTAAGCTGCAAGTTCTTTAGTAACATTTCATATCATGTCCTCTGTGGGTTGAGCACTCCATAAATGATTCATAACAGATGAGGTAAAGGCCTGACTCTTGTCTTCAGAGCACTTAAAGTCTAATGTCTCAAGCTAGTCAAGAATTTAATAATATAAAAGAGATAATAGTGTAATTAGAAAAACTTAGAGCTGGGCGGTGGTGGCGCACGTCTTTAATCCCAGCACTTGGGAGGCAGAGGCAGTTGGATCTTTGTGAGTATGAGGCTAGCCTGGTCTAAAGAGCGAGTTCCAGGACAGGCTCCAAAGTAATACAGAGAAACCAAAAAAAAAAAAAACAAAAAACAAAAACTTAGTAGGACATGTCTTTGATTTCTTCTCCTAAATGTCCTACTCCCCAACTTCTCACTGACACCTGCACTGAATGCTAAATTTTATTCTCTTATTTTTAAAATTAAATTTTACCAGCCATATTGGAAATATACTATTCCATCTTTTAAAACTTTTGCGTATTGTTATTGTTACATGTATGTCTTCTGTGTACCACATACAAAGGCCGGAAGAGGGTATCCAGTCTTCTGGAACTGGGGTTGTAGACAGCTAGGCTGTGTCTGGGAATGGAACCTTGCCATCTCTCCAGCTTCATTCCATCATTTTTGAAATAGTTTGTTGTTTGGGTACAGAGTTATGTATATAAACTCAACGATGATTTTTAACTTGAATACTAATTAATCTTTTTTTTTAACCATTTCAGGTAAGACCATGAATTATGGGATTTCTTAAATGAAGAATTCAGGAGTGAAATGAATGTCACAGAAAATAAATGATTTAAGTTATGTCTATTAATTTGACTCTAGATACATATATTTACTTCCTCGGTAATGCAAGAAGTCTTTGTGGGAATCAGAGAAGCAAACAGCTGCATTTTGTTTGTTGTAAACATTATTGGCGAATGAACCATATCAATGTACACAGAGATTTTCACACAAGTAAGAAAAGCTGTCAATGGGGCAAAGGTAAAACATGTTGTAGTAAGCACTGGCACTCTCCAAACAACCATGGCTTACATATTGGAGCTTTGAAACTTAGCACTTCTGCTCCGAAGGGACTCACAAAGGTGAACATTCATATGTCCCGTATTAAAAGTACTTTGAATTCTGTTTCAAAGGCTATTTTTGGCGGTCAAAATGAAATGGTTTCACAGTTAGCTCAATTTAAGCCAAGTTCTCAATTTTTAAGAAAAGTATCAGATAGGGGCTGGTTAAAACAAAACAATGTTAAGCAAGCCATTGAATCTCTGAAAAGCTATAGTGATAAATCAGCAGAAAAGAATTCTATTGTGGAACAGAAAACTTACATTGCAGATAAAGAAGAAGATATAGGTAAACGGAGCATTTTCCATTACACATACAGTATAACAAACAGAGTGGAAGAGTCATTTTACTTTGTAGCCAGCCATATTAATTCATACTTCAACCGCAAGGAAAAAATGTCTCAAACAAAGGAAGTTAAACATCTTCAGGACAAACCAGACCCTGAAGAAGGGAAATTCAGTTCTCCTGGCCCCCACATCCTGACAGACACACCAGACTCAGGATCTCCCCTTGATGCTGGGGACAAACCTTCTAGCCCTAGCCAGATGTCCGAGGTTCTTCCAGTGTCTGCAAAGCAAAGTATTGCCAACTTCCTTTCTCGTCCTACTGAAGGCGTCCAAGCCTTAGTCGGCGGTTACATTGGTGGACTCGTACCCAAATTAAAGTCTGACTTAAGGAGTCAGTCAGAAGGACAGGAAGAGCCTGATAAAAATGAACAAGGTGTCAGCAAAGACAAGAAGGCAGAGGAGAAAAAGCGAGTGTCTCTTCAGCGAGAAAAGGCAAGTTGTTTCTCAGTGTGAGCCTAAGAAGCATTAACCATTTATAGGATAACATTATTTCCTAATCACATGTTTCATATAACCTTGTAGATTATTGCAAGAGTGAGTATTGATAACAGAACTCGAGCCTTAGTTCAGGCCTTAAGAAGAACAACCGACCCAAAGCTCTGTATTACTAGGGTTGAAGAACTGACTTTTCATCTTCTAGAATTTCCTGAAGGAAAAGGAGTGGCTGTCAAGGTAATTTCTAACTTATTTAATATTTGTCTTGAAATAAAATTCTAATAAACCTTTTAAGTGGGAATGCAAAGCCTTTCTCATTTGAAAAATTTTGTTGTTTTAAATCATGCAGTATAGTTGATAATTGCCCCATTATTTTATGATACACATTAGACTAATGAATTACTTTTAATCTGTGTCATAAATTCTGCTATGATTCTGGATATCTATACTTTTTGAGTTAAGCATGTGTAAAAATGGAGCATAAGTTTAAATATGTTAGTTGCATTGCTTAATAATTGTCAAATTCTTAATTGCAGTGCAGGTATTTTTACTATGTAATCACTTTTTCAAAATATGAAATAGCCAGGTATATCATACACCTTTAATCTCAGTGTTTGGGAGACTAAGGCAAGAGCATTATTAGTGTGAGACTAGCCGTGGTTACATAGCAGGATTCTGTTTTCAAAATAAAAGACAGGAAACATAAAGAAAGCCATTGCTAAGTTTTATTCATCATCCCATGCTTCTTTCATATTTGAAGTCCATAAATTTTAACTAATAATTGAATTAATAAAGCAATTAGCTTTCCTCACCTCATTAGTCTATATGTGCAGTAGTGAACAAAGTTTAGATTTCATAAGTGACCAAGGAAGGTGAATCTCTGGGTCTACACTATATTTACTTGTGTGCTTAGTAATTTGAAAATACCATAATGAAATTGTTACCATTTCATTAAAACCCTGTTAGTGCTTTTTTAAAAGTCTACCATACAGAAAATTGTTACTTCATACTTTTTCTACCTTCTGATAACTGTCTTGCTTAAAAGTATGTCTTTAAAATGTTCCCTTCAATAGTTTTACATTGTCTAACATATATATATACATAGCTTCAGTATTTCATATTCCTAAAATTTGAGATTTATATTTCGTATATAGATGTATTTTTTAGAAATAAGATTTTGAAATATATGTATGCTTTTAAGGATAGTGTTTATGTCAGAGATAGACAAAAAGGAGAGATCTAAAATAGAATTACTGTTTTGGTTCACTGAGCTGCTATAGCAAAATACCTTATCCTGGGTGGGTTACATCCAACAGAAGGCTGTTTCTCATAATCCCAGGGAATAGTACCGGCAGGTCTGGGGTCTGGTGGAGGTTGTTGGCTATATGCTGCAGCTTGTGACTGATTCGCAAGGAAGCATCTCCTTTTGGCCCCATTCTCAAGGTCTCTAACCGCATGCATGGGGCAAGATCTCATGACCTAAGCCCTTCCTGAGAGAGCCTACTTTTTAATATTAATGAACTAGGAACTAAGTTCCAATGTGAATTTTACAAGAGACCTAGCATTCAAATATAGCATATGTTTTAAAGAATGATTTAACAGCATCTTATTCAAGAATAATGTAGATACATTTGTGTCAAGTGAAGTTCACAGACTTAGTTAGCATAGACGGGAACAGAACAGTGTCAGTCCTAGAAGTCTCTCCCACATCTCACTTGTAGTCTGCAGAAAAGTTTAGTTTGGGCTCCATGTGTGTTTGCTTTCTTTCGGTTGGTACAGAGATAGGATTTATTCCAAGTGTGGTGGTGGGTAGTTGGAAATGATTCATCCTCATTGCTTGCATTTATTACAGTAGGTCACAACTTAGTCTTTGTACTGTTAATGGATTTCAGGGTAGTTTTCAGCCTCAGTCTGTTAGGAGTTATCTTAATAGTTGAACTGTTGAGGATTCTCTTATATTTGAGAACTGGTCCCAAATGTAACCATCAATATCGAGAGGAAATGTGGTGTAGAAATTCTATCAGATCAGTTAGGAAATGAAATCTAGGTAGTTGGAAGAAAGTTGTCACCTTTCCCCTAGATAATAATCTAAAAACAATGAACTGAAGAAATTCCATCATGTGTTGCTTGGTTGTGGACTTTGCCAACTAAACTTCTTTTTGCCAGTTTTTCCCACTGTCTTAAGCAGCCTTTCTTTTTCTTTGTATTCTTCAGATAGGCACACTCTGAAGTTTAACCAGGCCTTAAACTTACTATGTAGCTCATGCTGACCTGATGTTCTTCAGCCTTCTGCCTCTCAAGAACTGGGTTTGTAGATATGCACCACCATGGGGCGGGTAACCAGCTTTTCTACTGGTTGACACAGTTCCTTTGTATGTTACAATCTTTTTTTTTAAATCTTTAAAAAAAAGAGCAAATGCTAGCTTTTTTTTTTTTTTTTTTGGCAAGGAAAATTGTAGCAGTGGTAGTGGAAAGATTGCAACAGGCAGAGACTCAGGACAGTTGTTTTTAGATTGTGTCTCTGGACAGGACATGGAGAATATACCCGGGAACTCACAGCTAGAGCTGCCTGAAGAAGACAGGCATAATGATAGTATTAGTGGAAATGGTAATGTGGGTGTAGGAAATTCCACATGCTCCTACCCCTAGATGAAGAATACAGGTAGTCAATGGCTGCTGACAGTGGGAGAACCAGTTTCCTCCAGGGAAGAGCTCCCATATGTGTTGTTCAAACCCAGGCAGCGCTGGACACATGTACAATCAGGCAAAAGCTTAATAGACTCAGTAGGTTCTACACGGTCTTGTCTGTCTGTCCGTCCATCCGTCCGTCCGTCCGTTCCTCCCTCCCTCCATCACCACCACCAACAAAGAAGAAAAGGTCATGAATTCGGGAGGTGGGGCATAGGAGGAGAGGAGGAAATGATGTTAATGCAGAACTCATATGAAGTTCTCAAAAACATAAAATTAAATTTTAAAAATAAAAATGAATTTTTTTGCCTTTCATACCTGTATGTATCGTTCATCTAGAGAACAGTTGTGAAAGGTAAATGTTGTGATGCTTAGTGTTCATATCCAGCTGAACAAGCAACCATTCGTTGAAAAAAAAAAGTCTTGTCATAAATAAGGCATTTATTTATGGGTTCATGTTTTTTTTTGGGGGGGGTAGTAGTTTATTTCTGGAGCTAAAGTCACAAGTGGTTGGGAACCACCAGATATGGATGCTGGTAACCAACTCAGGACTTCTCTAAGAGCAGTACATGTTTTTAACCACTAAACCATCTCTCCAGCCTCCTAGAGTTGCTATTATTTTTCTTCCTTTTTTTTTTTTTTTTTTTTTTTTTTTTGGAGACAGGGTTTCTCTGTAGCTTTGGAGGCTGTCCTGGAACTCACTTTGTAGACCAGGCTGGCCTGGAACTCACAGAGATCCGCCACCAACGCCCGGCTTTTCTTCCTTTTTTTTTTTTTTTTTTTTTTTTTTTTTTTTGGTTTTTATGAGACAGGGTTTCTCTGTATTGTTTTGGAGGCTATGGGTCCAGCCCGGCCTCGAACTCACAGAGATCTGCCTGCCTCTGCCTCCCGAGTGCTGGGATTAAAGGCGTGCGCCACCACTGCCCGGCTTTTCTTCCTTTTTTAAAAATATTTTTCTGTATCTGTATGTGGTAACATATGAATCTGGTATCCTGTTTAGGCCAGAAGAGGGTTTGAGAACTGTGGAGCTGGAGTTAACAGTAGTGAACTTCCATATGGGTGCCAGGAATTGAAACCCAGACCTTGGAAAGTGCAGCCAGTGCTCATCATAATCTCTTACCCGGCTCTACAGCCCCTACTTTGACTACTCTTAATATGCCATATGAATTTTAAAGTTAAACAAAAAGGAGAATAAAATTATGCTAAAATGGCATTGAATCAGTAAGATAGTTTATGGTAAATTAAGTATCAATTTGATCATTATTTTTCATCAGTGCTTAAAAATTCTAATCTTTGATTAGGCTTATTTTGTTAGTTCACATAACTATGTGATGTGTTATTGGTAATCCTAATAGGATAATCACCACTGGTCTTTGATTATGTGATACCAGTTTGACATACTTTGTGACTTTTCTGTATGTTGGGCATTGTGAATTCCAAAAGTTGTGTAAGTTCTGGACTCCCTTTCCCAGAGAGTTACTTTGCTCCTCTGCTGACATACCAAATGGAGCACCATCACTGTTAGGACAGAGCTGAATTAAGGATGATTAGAGTTTGGGAAAGACCCCTAATTTTCCCTGTTCTTAGGCTGTATTCCTGCACTACCACCATGCCTTGGGTCATACAAACTCAAAAATACAAAACATTATCTTGTTTTTTCAGAAGGCTTAAGTTTAGTATTTTTCCCCCTGCTATGCAAACTACTTCTGCAGTTATGTTAAGTTGAAATCAGTTTTACATCCTAACCGGAAATGGAAATTTGCTTGTGTATCCTCCACATTGTTTCGACTCCTGTAGGGGTCTGTGGAGCTCAATACTAGCTAGGGCAAAAAGCAGAACAGCAAAGATAGGATGTCCGATTTGGTTGACCAGAACAAGACACAAAGCAAGTAATGCATTTGAAAATTATTCCATTTATTGAACATTTCACAGCTCAGCTTTTCTCTTACATTTATGTATTTTTTGTCAAAATTACTATTAATTGTACTAAGAGAGTTATATTTTCTGTATTTAATATTGGATGTTTTCTATTTTGAAGGTAATCTTGCTGTGTAATTCAGGCTGGCCTAAACTTATTCTGTAGCGCAGGCTGGGTTCAAGCTTACAGTCCTCCTGCCTTAGATATCTGAGTACTGGTATGATAGTAGTGTGTTATACCACTTGGCAAATGTGGCACTTTAAAGAAAATATTCAGGCAGAGGCTTTTTTTTCTCTTTTTGTCCTCAAATTAGGATAAATATACGATAAATTGTTATTGATACTAACATGTCATAATCATTTTTAATTACAGAGAAAGTAATAAATATGCTTTGATTTTATGATCTATTCATATCAGCGAAAAATACTTGTTTTCTTTTTGTTGTTATAGGGTGTCACTGTTTAGCCCAGCCTGGTCTTGAACTCCAGATTCTCCTGCCTCTGTCTCCCGGATGTTGGGATTCCACATGTGTACTACCAAATCAGCTACACTTTCCTTCTTTTTTTTTTTTTTTTTTTTTTTTTTTTTTTGGTTTTTCGAGACAGGGTTTCTCTGTGGCTTTGGAGGCTGTCCTGGAACTCGCTTGGTAGTCCAGGCTGGTCTCGAACTCACAGAGATCCGCCTGCCTCTGCCTCCCGAGTGCTGGGATTAAAGGCGTGAGCCACCAACGCCCGGCTACACTTTCCTTCTTGGTTTGACATAAGTAACAAAGTATCTTTTGTTTTCAATGTAGGAAAAAATTATTCCGTATTTATTACGACTTAGGCAAGTTAAGGATGAAACTCTTCAGGCTGCAGTTAGAGAAATTCTGGCCCTAATTGGCTACGTGGATCCAGTGAAAGGCAGAGGAATTCGAATCCTTACAATTGATGGTGGAGGAACAAGGTAAGGCTAGGAAAAATGGCTTCTAAAACTACAGATTTCATTCAGCTTTAGAGATTTTAATATAGTTACCATAAAGTAATTTTTTTTTTTATTTTTCTAGACAGGGATTCTTTGTGTAGCTCTAGCTGTCTTGAAACTCACTCTGTAGACCAGATTGGGGCCTCAAACTCATAGATATCCTCCTGCTCCTGCCTCCTGAGTACTTGAATTAAAGGCTAAAGGCATTTGCCACCAACATCCAGCCATAAAATCAATTTTAAAAAGTAAAACATAAAGCCACTTGTATTTATGAATATAAAAGCTATTTTGTGACATATATTTGGATCACTTGTTAATGTAGAAATATTAAACTACACAAAATATGGATATCCTATGATAATTTATTGAAAGAGAAATCACTTACTTGAAAAGCCAAAAAAGTGGAGAACCAAAGATCTGCATACTGCTCTCCAGGTCAAGACCGAAAACCAAAAAAGAAAAAAAACTTCTCTCCCTAGCTCTATTTACCCCAGTATGTTCTATGTACCTGTGAACACACCCACACGTAAAATCTCTCCCTACAACTTGTTGTTTTGATTTCGTCTTTTTTTATATACCAACCATTCTCTTAAAAATGTAACATTTTTTGACTTAAATGTGTTTTTATTTTTTCCATATATACAGTTAGCTAGTTGCATAATATGGTGATGGTTAGAAGGAGAGTCTAGACCATTAACTTGCTGCTTCTCCCTGTCTTCCCTAGATGCCAGTTATGGTGCAATATAAAAACTAAAAATAAATGCCATCTTTGTTCAGTAGACAGTTTCGCTGTCAGTCTTACTTCTTGCTATCTGCGATCATCTGTGCTTATTCTTTCATAGTTTACTCTCTGATGGTTTGCCTGGTTTCTGGCCTTGTCTTTTGAACCTTTCTTTCCCTAGACTTTTCTATGCTAGGTTCTTACTTCTCTGGCTTTTACCCTTACCTCTGACCTGCTCTCCTGTGCACCTGTGCACTGCTCTGCTTTTGAGCAGCGTCCTTTTTGTTGCACGTCAGAGTTCTACCTGGTAGTCGGTCCTTCACATGGATATGAAGGGAAACGGTAGGTGCAAGAAGGAAGCTGTCTTAGAATCCAGGCATAAGACAGCTAACTGGTAACCTTAGGTGATGGCCCTGTAAATTCTGAAGTAGGAAGAAAAGATATATAAGACAGATATATAAGACATTTTTGAAGAAAATGAAACTAGATATGATTAAAATAAGTTAGGATCATTTTAAGTATAAACCCTGTGAGTGATGGATAGAATTGTGGAGATGGAGATGATTGGTATTAGAAAATGGATCTGTTTGGAGTATGTTGAATATAAGGTTGCGTATTGTAAAGAGATGCTCAATTGTCAAAACAGACCCAACTGAAGAGAGAAAAGTCGTAACAGACCTTGATAGGCATTTTGCTTAATTTAAGGTTACAGGCTTTTACCGTATATTAATCTGGCTTCCAACTTGTGGTTCTCTTTTCTAGGCCTTCTGAGAGCTAAGATTACATGTGTGCATCACCATAGCCAGCATGGCTATTTAATGGGAAAGTGTAATAATCCAGTAAGGTGTTTTTCTTCATGTGTAGATATAAAATGGTAGTGAGTTGGAGAGAATTGTTGACACTTTAGACAGTCTCAAGACTGAAAAGTATTAAAGCAGGAATAGTCTCTTTATCATTTATTCCAGGAGAGTTGGGATGGTAGTTTCATTCATTGAGTTAGCTGGTTAAATGTGCACCCCCCCCCTACAAAAACTCACTTAGATATTGAAAATATTAAGTAACAATACAGACAACCCCATTTTTTTTTTTTTTTTGGTTTTTCGAGACAGGGTTTCTCTGTGGCTTTGGAGGCTGTCCTGGAACTCACTTTGTAGACCAGGCTGGCCTCAAACTCACAGAGATCCTCCTGCCTCTGCCTCCCGAGTGCTGGGATTAAAGGCGTGCGCCACCAACGCCCGGCTCAACCCCATGTTTTGTTAGTGCTTGTATTCTAGAGAAGAAAAGAGACACGCAGGAAAAACAACAGTGTATTACTGGGTCTTCATGTGAAGGAAAGGAAGAAAAAGTGAAAGCAGGGGTAGAAACTTTATAATGACTGACTTCATGTAAAAGACTTAACATGACCAGTCTGCAAGAATATTACAAGCCATCAGCGCTTCTGTTTAACCCGAGAGCTACAGTATACTGGAAGAAACATTATTCATTGCTGGTGGGCATGCAAACTGGTAGAGTCGCTGTAGAAATCAGTATGAAGATTCCTAAGAAAGGTAGAAATGGATCTGCTGTATGATGCAGCTATAGCACTTCTGGGCATATACCCCAACGCATATACAAATGAGATACTTGCTCATCCATGTTCACTACTATTGTATTTACTATACTAGGAAGTGGAACATCCTAGATGTCCACTAACTGATGAGTAGATAGTAAAAATATCATAATATACAAATATAATTTTATTCAGCTGCAAAGAAAACTGAAAATGTGATTTGTTTATAAATGTATGAAACTGGAATCTGAAGGAAGACAAATGTTCCCTCTTGTGTGGATTTTGGGTTTGTGTTTTTAACATGGAGTACCTATAGAAGCTAGGAAACTAGAAATGGGCCAATTGGGCAACGGAGAGAAAGACCTTAGGGGGGATAGTAGAACACAGGTGGCAAGTGTGGACCCAAAGGAATAAGGGTCCTGAACAGTGAGATGTCAAATGGGGGACAGGGCATGAGAAAGAAGACAAAAGCAGTAACTGGGACTAGGAGGTCTTGCATATGCTGATGGCTTATGCCAAGCAAATTTATTAGGAAGTTCAGCACCAAGTACACTGCTGGCAGGGGAAATGGCCAAGGTCAGCAGAGAGCTAAAGCAGACAGTATTGGTAAAGAGAATACAGGATACCCCTAGATACCACAGACCAGGAGAAGTGTCCAGTTCTCGGAAACAGAAACCTTCACTCCTCAAAGGCATAACTCCAGCCTAAAACTGGCCTTGCCAAGTCCATTCCTGGAGAAGGACACAGAATGAAAGTTCTCTTTGTCTTTTCATCAAGGCCTCTGAGAAAGTTGTGGGTTAGTCTGTTCCGCACAGTAGGGATTGGGAGAGTAGTGCAGAGGATGGGGTAGGGACAGGTATAATTAATAGTAATGGTATTTGAATTGTGACCATACAGAAAGAGCAAAGGAGTAATGGTTCTCCTAGAAGCCATAGGTTATCAAGCTCTAGATGTGGGATACTTCCCTTCAATTGTTGTCAGGAGTTTCCAGACATCCCCTCCAAACAATACAGGCTAGTGCCACCACCTGGGTCATCCTCCAGAACTCGATGGTGAGACCTGTGCTAAGGACACCACACAGTTTGGCCACCAGACACGGACAAATCAAATCTATCTTAATTTGGAGTTTCCTCCCTGCTGGTTAGATTTTATAGTGCTGTGCAGACTGCTGGGGAGGAAAGTCAGCAGTGTTTCTGTGAAACATTGGTAAACCCTTTGAGCCTAAGGAGCGCACTTGGCAAGAGATGCATATTGATGCACTGGTGATATGTTATGGCAGAAGCCAGCTGCTTTCTGATTGGGATTAAGATAGTTACACAGGAGGGAACTCATACCTGGTTCTGTAAGCCTGGCCAAGAACCAGTGACTGAGGTCATAGGGGAGAATACTCCTGGGGAGTATTCTACTAAATGGACATTGTGTCTGACTGCCTTATGAATACTTATGATTCATAGATTGATGCAGCTCAGCCCATGACCAAGAAACATCTTTGTGCAGTGGACTGCAATTTATATCGAGACCCACAGTCAGCCAAAGTGACATCTCTATTGCACTTCCGTCCCCCAAGGGTCAGGTAACATCTTGAAGAGAAGCCAGGAAGACTATAAGAACCAGAGATAAGTGCTCTGAAATAGTGTCTTCTGAATATGACAGGCTTGTAGGGTTGTTGTACTCATGAACTCATGTAACTTTAGTTGTTAACTCAAAATACCACACAAAATCAAGTCAGTCAGCATTCCAGTATGGACGAAGGAAGGACTCGTGAGTGAGACCTCTCATCCCCAACTGACAGCTGGCATCAATTGATGGCTACCAGAGAAGGGAGAATCAGTTTTCTTTGACGGTAGGTGTGGCCTCTCACATACATTGCCCCTGTACTCCATTGGGTGGCCCTACATCCTTGCGTGTCAGGACAGCACTAACTGTACAGACAGACATGCACGAGAGAGAGATGCGCATGAGAAAGAGACGCATGAGAGAGGTGAGGATATGAAATAGGATGGGAGATGTAGAGAGGGAGTTTCAAGAGGAGTTGGTTGAATGAAGGAGAAGGATGAACAAACTACATAGTGTACTTGCGTGGAATTATTTTTTATAAGTCTAGAAAATAAAAAGTCATTTTGTAAGTATTTAATCTTATAAGAATTATGTGAGTCACACAGAGTGAGAACATGTTGGAAAATCTGGCACTGAAGGTAGGTTTAGATCATCAATCCTCCACTGGAGATATCTAGAGATCATTCTTGCTGTCACACTGAAGAACTGTCATCTTACATGGCAGGGTTAAGGTTCCCCAGAACAGGCTTAACTGACCCAGAGAGTCCTTCTTTCTGTAGTTGAGGAACTTGGGTTTAGGAAAATAAGAGAAACTAACCAGAAAGGGAGATTTGTGTTGATAACTAAGGTACAGGGGATTGTAAAAGAGCCCACATATTATTTGTTTGATTTGTTTTGTTTCTTGAAGCAAGGTCTCACTGTGCAACCCGGGTGGACTACCTTTGTAACTCAGACTGTTCAACACAAAGTCCTTCCTCCTCCGCCTCCTAAATGCTGGGATTACAAGTGTGTACCCTCACACCTGATCTGAAAGCTATGTATTTTATTGTGCCTGTGTGTAAAAACAACAACAACAAAAAAACCCAGTTGTACAGTTTGTTAGCAAACTAACAAGTCTACATATTTTTATTAATTCTGAGTTTACTTATAAATACTGCCTTTTTATTGATTTCTTTATTTAAATAAAGTCATTTCTTTCCCCCATTCATATATGTACTTAGAAATATTTGGGAAGGAAAAAAGAAAGACAATCCATAAACCAAAATGTCGATATTATTTTAATATTTTGACTTAATTTCTTCAAGTCTTTTTCTTGTAGGTATATACATACATGCTTAATTCCTTTGCAAAAGGCAATGTATGTCACATTGTTAAATCTATTTTATACAGCATCATCTTTAATTCTTTATGTCAAATATGTTTTATACGGTATCATCTTTAATTCTTTATGTCTTACCTGGAATTATAATATAGCAGCACTCTTATAAGCCATTGTCTGATAGCTCCTGGATCCACATTACTTATCACAGCTTAAAAAAATAAAAGTTGGGGCTGGAGGTTAAGAGCACTTGCTGTTCTTATGGAGGTCGTGAGTTCAATTCCCAGCAATACCATGGTGGCTCATCACCATCTGTAATGAGATCTGGTGTCCACTTTAATTAATTAATTAATTAATTAATTAATTAATTAATTACTCACTCATTTATTTATTTTACATACTCATGCCAGTGCCGCCCCCCCCAGTTCCCCCACCTTCCCCTCACTCACCCTCCATTTTGCTCCTCAAAGAGGGTAAGGTATCCCATGGGGGAGTCAACAAAGTCTATCCCATCACCATGTTGAGGCAGGACTAAAGCCCTCCCCTCTGTGTCTAGGCTGAGAAAGATATTTCTCCATAGGAACTGGGTTCCAAAAAGCCAGTTTATGTACTAGGGATAGATCCTGGCCCCACTGCCAGTGGCCCCACAAACTGCCTAAGCCACCCACTATCACCTGCATCCAGGGGCCTAGTTCAGTGCTATGAAGGTTCCTCAGCTGCCAGTCCAGAGTCAGTGAACTCCCCTAGCTTGGGTCAGCAATCTGTACGGGTCTCCACATCATGGTCTTCACCCCCTTGCTCATATTATCCCTTCTGGCTCTGGACTCTGGGAGCTCGGCCCAGTGCTTAGATGTGGACCTTTGCATCTTCTTCCATCAGTTACTAGATGAAGGTTTTATAACAACAATTACGGTAGTCCACAATCTGTTTACAGGGGAAGGCCATTTCAGGCAACCTGCCCACTAATACTTAAGAGTTTTATCTGGTGTACAAGTCATCCTTGGTAATTTCTCTAGTGCCAGGTTTCTCCATAATCTCTTAAGATAGTTCTTTCCTTGTTCTCCTTCTGTCCTCCCCCAGCTTCACCATCCAGTTCCCTCCTGCTCACCTCCCCACTCCTTCATTCCTCCACTCTCCCTTCCCACCTTCTACCCTCCCTCTCACTCCCAATTTACTAGGAGAGCTTTTTATCTCCCCTTCCTATGGGAATCCATGTATGTCTCTCTTAGTTACCTAGCTTCTCTGGGCCTTGCTTTATGTCAAATATCCGCTTATGGGTGTCTTTCTGGGTCTGGGTTACCTCACTCAGGATGTTTTTTCTAGTTCTGTTCATTTGCCTGCAAATTTCAAGATGTCATTGGTTTTTGCCGCTGAGTAATACTCCATTGTGTGAATGTACCATGTTTCCTTACCAACATTCTTTGGGTTGAGGGGCATCTAGGTTGTTATCAGGTTCTGGCTATTATGAAATAATGCTGTTATGAACTTAGTTTAGCAAATGTCCTTGTGGTATGTGTGTATCGTTTGGCAATACCAAAAGTGGTATTACTGGGTCTTGAGGTAGATTTATTCCCAGTTTTCTGAGAAAGCAACATACTGATTTCCAAAATGGCTGTACAAGTTTGCACTCCCACCAGCAATGGAGAAGTGTTCCTTGACTCCGCATTCCCTCCAGCATAAACTTTCATTAGTGTTTTTGATCTTAGCCATTCTGATTGGTGTAATATGGTATCTCAGAGTTGTTTTGATTTGCATTTCCCTGATGGCTAAGGATTTTAAACAATTCTTAAATGCCTTTCAGCCATTTGAATTTCTTCTGTTGAGAATTCTCTGTTGTTTAGATCTGTACCCCATTTTTGAATTGGGTTATTTGGTATTTTGGTATCTAGTTTCTTGAGTTCTTTGTATATTTTGGAGATCAGCCCTCTGTTAGATATGGGGTTGGTGAAGGTCTTTTCTCATTCTGTAAGTTGCTGTTTTGTCTTGTTGGCTGTGTCTTTGCCTTACAGAAGCTTCTCAGTTTCAGTAGGTCCCATTTATTAATTGTTGACCTCAGTGTCTGTGCTACTGGTGTTCTGTTTAGGAAGTAGTGTCCTGCACCAGTGTTTTCAAGGTCACTGTCTCTTCTATGAGGTTCAGTGATCTGGTGCCCTCTTCTGGCGTGCAGGGATACATGTAGGCAGAATACTGTATACATAATAAATAAATAAATTGTTTTTACAAATGTGGTAGTGGGACACTCTCAATCTCAGCACTTGAGCACTTGAGTGGCAGAGGTTGGGGGATCTCTGTGGGTTCAAGGTTACCCAAGACTAGACAGTGAGACTATGTCACTAAATAAGCCAAAGGACACCATTTTTGGTCTTCTATTATTTGGTCTTCTACTGTTTTGGGTCTTTTACTGTTTTATAGTGACCTTTGTTAGCCCCATCAAGGTGCAATTTGAAATCCTTCCATTGTCTTGTAGTACTGACCCCTCATCATGTGTTGTGAATTGAACGTGTCATTGTTTGTTAGAATTGTCATCTTTTAAACCCCTGGACTGCTTTTTCATTTCACATTCTCTCATGAAGATATTCATTACCTTTAGTAAAGATCAGAAATGAACAGTGTAAGTAGTGTTACCTAGTAGACTGCTAAAGTAGTGGATGACTCTAAGTTTATTTCAAAATAAATAAATAGAAGGTAGCTTGAAAATCCGACTAGTGAAAAATAAGTAAAAATGCATGGAATTATAACTGACCAACTATATTAATAAAAGAAGAAAACGGTTTCCAGTACCTCAGAACAATTGAGTATACTTTTTAAAAGTATAATATTGGTGTATCTTTATGTTACTTAAAAACAATACTACAGATATGTAAGTATGCTGCCATTGCACAGGCTTTGTATTTGTACTTTGAAGTGATCCTAAAATTTGGTCAGATGATTTTTCATTCTATTAGCATTTATTAGTAATAAATTATCAAAATAATGTGTTTCATGTGTATAACACACTTTGATCATGTTCAGTTCCCTATTACCATTCCTTCTTCCTCTACCTCCAAGCCCTTCTACTTTCATCAGCTAAGTCTGTTGTTTTCTCTTCTTCTGTTTCTTACTAGGTCAGATTATTTTCATTGTTACTAGTTTGAATTACATTTTCATGTTAACATATAAACTGTAAAGGCAGTTTTTCAGAATTGTTTCATTCTATAACTTGAATTTCCCTTGAAACAAAGTGTCAGCTTGTGTTTTCTCTTTCACAGAGGTGTGGTTGCCCTTCAGACTCTGAGGAAGTTGGTTGAACTTACTCAGAAGCCAATTCATCAGCTCTTTGACTACATCTGCGGTGTAAGCACAGGTGATTACCATATGTATGGGTGTGTTCCACCAGTGGATTCCAGCAAGAGCACGAAGTACATGCTTCAGATCATGGTCCTTCTCTGAAATGATGGGCAGTACTTGCATAACTTTAATGATAAGTAACCCTTTGTGTCATGAACTTTTAAAACTGCTTATTGGCCAAACATGTAACCTTTTAAGTTTAAGCATTTAAAAATGACGTATTTTTATTATATTTTCAACAAGTCACATTGGTAAGGAATAGTTACTAATTACTGCTTTTTGGCTTAGTCACTGTAAGGAGATGAAGTGGTAGGTAGTCAAATGGCACTTGAGTTAATGTGAAATTAAAGGTGGTAACCAGCTTAGTTAATAAGGAATATCAATGAGTAATTTGATTCCTGTACTGCTTATTATGGTGGTTTGAAATTAGAGCTTAAAATGACAAATGTGTCTTTGGTTTTAAAAAGCTACTTTAAAATATTGCTACTTGGTATATGTATGAAATGGTAGTTTACATCTGGGCCTCATTCTGAATTATGGTGACTCTAAAGATCACTACAAACAACCAGAGATTTCTCTGCATGATTAGTGTTCCGTGTGGCATATTCCCAGAGTGCATGCTGAGTGTTGCCCAGTTGTAAAGACTGAATGATGAGAACAGCTGCAAGGATGATTTATAGGATGATACACACCGGATGGAGTCAGCAACCACAGGGTTTCAGGGTTAGCAAGCATGGACAAGGAGGTCTCTCAGTACGTTATATTAAAAATGGTTTTTTCTTGTAGATTTCTTTAAAGTGTTAGCATGTATTTTGGTCCTTAAAATAAGAAAGTAAGTACATATCCAAAGGTAACTGATTTGACTTTAAAAGCTTCTCAAGAGGTATTTCCTAAGTGTTATCTGTAGTTTTGTTTTGAAACATTCCCCATTTCTGTTAAATTTGGAATTGTCCTAGCAATTGAACATCTGAGGGTAGCCACAAACTCATTTCTTGCTCTGGCTCCTTACTAGGTGATGATCACAGTAGTGCCCCTCAAATCAGTGACCGGTCATGACATAGCATTGAGTGATGTGTAGGGCTCTATGGTTTTCCTTCCCGCTGCACTTTCTAACTTGTAAGTGCCGCGTCATTTGTCTTCTTTTTCTGGTTTGTTTATCCCTGAATTGTTTCCTTATGATTTTTGTGAAGTTAACAAATATGTATTTAGTTTAAGGATAATATCCTTACTAACTTAAAATATCTGTTTATCATTATAGTAATTTCTACCAAACAGAAAAGCACTTTGCTAGCAGTAGGGAGGCAGAGACAGGAGGGATCTCTATGAGCTTGAGGCCAACCTGGTATAAGTAGCAAACTCCAGGACAGTCCTACATAGAGAGACCCTGTCTCAAAAAAAATCATTAAAAAATTTAAAATTAGCCGGGCGTTGGTGGCGCACGCCTTTAATCCCAGCACTCGGGAGGCAGAGGCAGGCGGATCTCTGTGAGTTCGAGGCCAGGCTGGACCGACAGCCTCCAAAACAGAGAAACTCTGTCTCGTAAAACCAAAAAAAAAAAAAAAAAAAAAATTAAAATTACTTATTACATCTATTGGGGTATTTTCCAAATTAAAGATATTTTATATAGTTTGAGCCATAACATTATATTTTCAAATTATCAACTATCTAATCTTTTACTAGAATGATACCAATTAAAATAAAGCTAATAAGCTTTTCAGGACTGGAAAGATTAAGAGAGCACTTTAATTTTTTTTTTTTTTTTTGAGGCAGGGTTTCTCCGAGGCTTTTGGAGGCTGTCCTGGAACTAGCTCTTGTAGACCAGGCTGGCCTCGAACTCACAGAGATCCGCCTGCTTCTGCCTCACGAGTGCTGGGATTAAAGGCATGCACCACCAACGCCTGGCTGCACTTTAAATTTCTAAAGGATGAGGGTTCAATTCACAGCCATCTCTAACTTCGTTTCCAGGAGATACAATGCCCTTTTCCGAACTTCGGGGGCGCCAGGCACACATGTAGTGTGCTGACATAGATGAATTCAGAACAGTAATACACACAAAATAAAAGACTTTAAAACCAAGTTTTAAACATTTAAACTGTGTTGTTTTACTTAGTTCCTGGTATCTCAACACTCCATTTTCCTCTTTAGTTCAGAGTTAGGCAGAGTAGAACCACTAGGTGGCAGTGTATCTTACCAATTACAACTGGTACATGAAATCAATCAGCTTTTTAGAAATCTCAGTACCCATCCCAAGTATACACACGGACTTTGGACTCCCATAGAACAATGTGAGGTGCACTCTCACCCTGAACTCTTGGGGAAGGGTCTAGGCCCTGCCCTATATGAAATGACAGACTATGGACACCCCCATGGAAGGCCTCACCCTCCCTGGGGGAATGAGGGGATAAGAGGGGGGGTTGGGGGGAGGGCACGGGAGGAGGGGAGGGAATGGGAGAGGGACCTGGAACTGACTTGTGAAGCAACCTCGTTTCTTATCTAAATTTAAACTGGAAAATAAAATATAAAAAAAAGCACCTAAAAAAAAAAGAATATCTAATTTCTTTCATCACATTGATTCTAGGACCTAACTCAAGGAGGAGTTGCTTAATGAATTTATGAGTTATCAAATACACTGTATTCATCTTATATATAATCTAATTTAGTATAAAACAACATTTTGATATATTGTCATCTTGAAGCCACTGATATTTTTGGGACCTGGAAAAGCTTTTACATTAGTAAAGTATAAGGGACTAATAAATTATAGTTATATTTTGTACCCCTTTTACAGATGAAAACTTAGGACTGTGAGAAGTGATTTGTCCCAAGTCCAGCTAGAAAGCGTCAGAACTAGAACTGTAGCAGTTTGGTGGCTCAGGGTCAGTGTCATTGAAAGAGCAGTCACTTCACTGCTGATGATTTCCAGGGGCCATATTAGCGTTCATGCTGGGATTGTTTCACATGCCGCTGGACGAATGCGAGGAACTGTATCGAAAGTTGGGCTCAGACGTGTTCTCACAGAACGTCATCGTCGGGACTGTCAAAATGAGTTGGAGCCATGCATTTTATGACAGTCACACCTGGGAAAAGATCCTTCAGTGAGTGTTCTTTTGAAAATATTTTGGTTAGTTGTTTATGCATAAGAAAATCTGAAAACTACAAGAAATACAAGAATAGTATTATTCCCATTAATTGAAAATAACCAGTGTTATTTTTTTTTTTGTGACTTTGGTGAGTCACATTCTAGTCACAGATTCTTGAATTTGTGCGTATAAGATTTGCATGTGGAAATTATAATTGTCATTTTTGGTGTGTGTAGGAGAGTGTATATTTTCATCTCTGTGTACATATGTGTTTGGGGTTCATCCATATGTATGTGTACATGTAAGTGGAAGTCAGGGGTTAATGTGAGGATCATATAACTGTCATCATGTGGGTGATGTGTAGGCATGCATGTGCTGTGGCATATGCATGGAGGCCAGAGGACAACTTGGTGGCGTCAGTTCTCTTCCACCTTTTCATGGAACCCGGGGACTGAAGTCAGGTTGCCCGCTTGTGAAGCTATCGTCCCAGCCTACTTTATTTTTGATGACAGGGTCTTTGATTAAACCCGGAGGTCATCAATTTGACTAAAGTGACAAGTCAGCAAGCCCCAGGGATCCACCTGTCTCCATCTTCCTAACACTAGAGTCACAGATTGACAGTATGCCTGCGTTTCATAAGGGTCCTGGGATCTGAACTCATGTCTCCATGCTTGTGGGCAGGCACTTTACAGGTGGAGTCCTCTCCTTAGTAATATTGTACGTAGATTTAATGTGCATACGGATAATGTTTTGATGTCTTATAGACTGTTCATAAGTCATTATTCTGAAGCACTCATATTAAAAATTCTTCCCAGATGCAATATAATCAAAACTATAAGTGCAAAGTAGAAGTTTAAGTCACCCAAGACTTATTATTGAAAGCTGTGGAATTTGTAATATACTTACTTTTTCTTGATTAGATTTGTGTGTGTCTGTGTATGGAGTGTGGGTGAATGTGTGTGTCGGGCGTGGTCCATGAAGTAAATGTGTGTAAATGGAGGTGGAGGTCATAGGTCAGCCTCCAGTGTCATTCCTCAGGCCCCTCCCACTGTTGGCTTGAGATTGAGACCGGGTCCTCTCATTAGGTTGGAACTTGGTGAGTAGGCCAGGCTGGTTGGTCATGAAGTACCAGGGATCTCCCTCTCCACCTCTCCTCTCACCATTATTGGAATTGCAAGCAAATGTCCAGGTTTCTGTTTTGAGTTCTGAGAATCCAAACTCATCCTCACGCTTCACCCACTGAGAAATCTCCTTAGCTCCTTATGTTTCCTCATATATTTTGTATAGCTGAAGCTACTTTATACTTGTAAATTGGTATCACTTCCCTTGTTTTCAATTTTACTAAAACTAGTAGCACCTTTGAAAGACTACAATGTATTTCAGAGTGTGAGGGTATAACATTTTCTTAGCTATGTGAGTAGGATATGCTATGGTAGAAAACTAAATTTAAACTTCTGCCAACATTTTAGAATGTATCAGTCTTGTTAATTTATAGGAAACATGCTCATTTCTCATTTGTTCAAAAGCTGTTTTTAAATAATGAAACAATAAAGAAAACAATGAAAATAACCTATCATCCCACTAAGAACAAAAACTTTTTAGAACTTACACCCACAAAAACGTTTGGAACTTACAGCTGAATGAGTGTGTACTTGTGTTCGTGTGTGTATGTTCCTCCTCTCCCACAATTGGGGTGATCACGCATGTGTCCTGCAGTTCTACTTAAGATCTGCCATTATATTTTGAAGGCAATTTGAATGGTTGCTCATTATCCCATTTTAGAGATGTGCTGTTTTTGGCTTAACACATTTCCTATTAGAAAAGAACACTTGCGATGTCTTATTTTTGTAGTTCACAAATGGACATGGACTCCTTAAATATCAATTTAAGTCTGCTGATATCTTTAAAGGGAAATGCTAGACATAAAACTCTGGGTCAGAAATGTTTATATGTTTTAAAAGTCTTGAGAAAAAAAAAGTACATGAATTTGGGAAGGAAAAGTGGTGAGAGGGAGAGGGAAGGAATAAGAGGACAGGGAATGGATTTGATCCAAACACATTGACGCATGAATGAATGAAATTCTCAAACAATAAGTCTTGAGATATATGGTGTATATTGCTGAGTTGTTCTTAAAAATAGGATCCTAGCTTATTCATCTACCAGCATCAATTGTCTTTTTCTATTTTTGAAGTATTTTTAAATACCAAATAATTTTAACTTTCAAAATATATGAGTTTGAGATTTTTTTCAGTGACCATAAACCTTCTTTATGTTTTTTATTACATTCTTTTTGTGACTTTTGTGAATGTGATATTTTGCTGGTTTTCCTATCAGGGAAAATTATATTGTATATACATTAACCATATATGAAAATGTGTTGTTTTTCCATTTATTTATTATGTATAGGTGTGTTTAGGTTTGCATGCCACACTGTTCGTTCTGCCTTGTGGGTTTCTGTAGTTGAGACAATGAGACTTGGCAGCAAGAATGCTTATCTGATGAACCATCTGATGGGTCCACAATAATTTCTTTCTTTTAAGAACTACTTTACCTTTTCTTTTTAATGGTGTGCTGTTTTGTTTGGTTGCTTTGGGGTTTTTGTTTGTTTGCTTGTTGTTTTTTGGGGGGGACCATGTCCTAGTTTACTTTCTTCGATTTGCTGTGACAAAGCACCATTAACAAGCGTCTCGGGGAGGCTAGGGTTAACCTGGCTTACACATCCCAAGCGCAGTCCATCATGAATGAAAGTCAGGACAGGAGCTCTAGGCTGGAACTGAAGCAGAGGCCATGTGGAATGCTGCTTACTGGCTTGCTTCAGCCTGCTTTTTTATACAACCCTGGACCACCTGCTCAGAGTGGCCTGGGACCTCCCACAGCAATCGTTAACCAATCAAATGCCTCACAGACTTACCTACAGGCCAATCTGATGAAGGCATTTTCTCAATTAAAGTTCTCCCTTCCCAGATGATCCTAGCATGTATCACGTTAGTACTAAGCACACACGTGTATTCAGGCATCCTTTTGTGCACACACAGAGGCTGGAAGATGACATTGGGTGCCCTTCCCACCACTCCCCACCGGTGATCTGGTGTCTTACTATGTCACTCTCCACCTTAGTTTTTCAAACAAGGCCCCTCACTGAATCTAAAGGTTGCCACCTGGGACCCTGGTGTCACTGTCTCCAATACAGGATGACATGTGTGGCTGACCATGTCTCACTTTTATGTGAGTGCCCAGGACCTGAGCTCATGCCCTCTTGATTTCACAGCAAGTGCCCTGCCCTTTTCCACTAAATGTCTCCCCAGCCTCAAGAAACCTTTTTAGTGAGTGATATTTTTAATGCAGTGGATTTACAAATGTTCATTTAACCATATTTTTTCTTAATGATTTTTAATTTTGTTTTAATGGGGGTATAAAACTATCCTGAAATCAAGTAAATAACTGTTGTTTCTAATCTAATGGTAAGCTTTTAAGTAAGCTATCTCAGAATAATCTTGATGTGTAATGGAAATGGCAGTCAAACTTGTTTTTTATGCAATTCAAACATCCAAGTTTACTTTTTTATTTTCTTTTTTCATTGATTTGAAATACCACATTACATGACAGTCTGTGTTCAAGTTTTTTCCTATTAATTTTTTGTTCAACATCTGTCAACATCTGTAGATTTTTAATTTTGGAATAGATCATTTTCCCTTTTTCTCAGAGATACATTAGTTCTTTCCACTTAATCATCAAAATTCATCGTAAGCTACTTTTATCAAACTAAAAAGATTCCATGGGACCAGCTGGTGGTGGTGCATGCCTTTAATCCTAGCACTTGGGAGGCAGACATAGGTGAATGTGACTTTGAGGTCAGCTTGGTTTACAAAGCTACACAGAGAAACTCTGTCTCGAATAACAACAACAACAAAAAAGATTCCATGGGAAACTTTGTAGGAATGATCAGTTATAGTATGATGACATATATTTATATCCTTAAACCTGCAAAGTCACCCTACCCATTATTGCAGGTTAAATGTTATTTCCTGGTCTTCTGAGCCTGTTAGGAAGGAATAATTCATATCATTTTTCATGAAGTAATAATACTATTTTAAGATGTTCCAATAAATGTATAAAAGAAAATTACAAAGCCAACTAATACATCATCAAATGCTGTTTTTTTTTAATTTTGTAACTCCTGAGAGTGTCTTTGTTAATTTGCATAATATGTTATTGCTGAGGGATAAGAATTATTTGGATTTAAGCCCCTTGGAGGTTTAAAGTTCTTTTTGTCTGTTATAGCACTATAATAGAACTACAGGCAAGTGTGTAGTCCTTGATTGTTAGTAGTTTTGATATAACTCACGTATTTTTGTTTAATAAAGGGATAGAATGGGATCTGCACTAATGATTGAAACAGCAAGAGACCCAGCATGCCCTAAGGTGAGTCTGAAGTCTCTTAGGCAGACCATCACAGGGTCTGAAGAAAACATGTATTGTGAGTACTCACAATAAGGAGAAGCATTCTGGGGAATTTCCTTCAATAGATGTTGTTGATTCCGATCTATTAGGTCATTCTATTAAAATATAGGATATAATCATTAGATTATTTCTGTATATAGTAAAAGTATATTAAAAGTTTACAGATATGAACTGTGACTGAAAATAGAGAGTAATTCTTATTTTATCATAATCAATTTAATAAAATCTAGAGATTTAAGGAAAATGAAAGTATTTTATCTTAGATTTTTAAAGAGAAGTTGTATGTAATATATATAATCAATAGGATTGTGTTAGTGTACAAATGGAATCCCAATTTTTTAAATGTTTCTATGTAGTACTTCATTCATTGATTTGTTTGGAATGCCACAATCTGAAATTGCTTTATCTTGGTTTTAACAGTAGTTGTTTGATTGAGGATTATAATTGATGTGCCTAGGAATCCCATATGGCTTGTATTTATTTATTCTTGAATGGCAAGCTGTAAGGAAGCAAAATCAAGATACCACTCTCTGTTGCTCTTTTAACTTCATCACTTTCGTACCTTCATTTATGAATGCTGTGTGCCTGTGGCAACACTGAATTCGTGTATGATAATGCTGTGCCTTTACTAAAGTCATAATGATTTCAAAGCACAGAGAAACACAGACTAATTTAAATATACTATATTAATCTTTAGTGATTTTTATTGATGATAATATTGTATTAGTTATTACTTTAGAATAATAAAGTAAGCTGGACACTTACATGGAATTACAGGACTGTGAATTATTTGTTTAATATGACTACTAATTAAATAATCTCACAAATGAAGTAGTGTCCTGAAGTGGGTGCTGTGGAACACACCAGCAATTCTCTGAAGGCATACGTTTTACGGAATGGAAGGAAGGTTACTTTGTGAGACCTCATTGTGAAGGCTAGTAAGTAGGAGCATTCCTGGCAAAAGGACAAAGAGAATGGTCTATGCAGGGCGCAAAGAGAATTCCAGGAACTGCAAGCCTTCCTGAAGACTAGGGCCCAAGTTCTGAGGGCAGCATGTGGGATGGGACTGGAACAGTAGGCAGATTAGATCACTCACTGGCCTTGACAGCCATGACAAAGAGATGATGTCATTCCTTTGGAGAGGACCCTAAGATGTGCCCTACTGGACCCTCTGGTTTGTTCTTCTGAATCACTAGGCCTCTGTTTTTGTTTGAATGTTTGCTTCCAGTTTGTGGAAATTGTCAACTTTGGGTAAAGGAATCGATGTGAGCATGGGAAAACTTGAGCCATATCCAAAGGTTCTTTGTTGTGACAAATAGAGCAGCTACTACCCATTGGATTCTGAACCACCTTTTCTCTGTATCCTAGTTGTAGAAAGACCCTGTGGATTTCAGTGGATGGCCAGGTGACACCCACAGACGCCAAGAGCCATGAATTACTTACAGACACTTAGGATAGTACCTTTCTTTAAGTGACAAAGCAAGCAAACAGGGCCCTGGCAGGGCTTACACAGGACAGAAAAACTTTGGCTAAGATTTGAAAGCTTTGAGAATTTGTGTGCAGGGCTATGCTCTAACTTTACTAAAATAACAATATTTTTCTCTGTTTTTCTTTCCTTTTATTGAAAAAGATTATTTTCTCATGCAATATATCTTGATTACAATTTCCCCTCTTTCTATTCCTCCCAATTCCTTCATAGCTCCCTGCCCTTCTGGATCTACTCCCTTTCTGTCTCTCATTAGAAAAGAACAGGCTTCTAAGAATTAATAACCAAATATAACAAAATAAAACATAGTAAGATAAAGCAAATTTCATCATATCAAGGCTTAATAAGGCATCCCGACACAAGGAAAAGAGCATCAAGAGCAAGCACAAGAATCAGAGACCCACTCAACACTATAACACATACACAGAGGGTCTGGTGTAGACCATGTAGGACTGTGCTTGCTGCTTTAGTCTCTGTGACTTTATATGAGCTTTCTTAAGTTGACTCAAAGAACCTTCTTTTCCTAGTTTCCTCCATCCCTTCTAGCTCTTACATTCTTTCTCCTCTATTTACCACTCTTCTTGGCAGTGGGACCTGGGAGATGCCTATAAATGAGGCAGACTAAAGTCTCATGCAATAGCCAACTTTATTCAGAGCATGAGACAGTTTATACCCTGAGGGTTAAAAAAAGGTCACCTAAATAAAGGTCTTGTGAGTTCAGGCTGTGTATAATCACAAGGACAAGCTGCAAGTGGCAAAAACATGTTTTTCCATAGAGATGTATGACCAATTATTAGCTAGCGGTAATGAATAATCCCAAGTAAATTCGCTCCTATCCCCTATACTAGGAGGGGCACGAAAGCACATTACAAGAACAACCCATGTTATGGAGGAACAGAGATTATAAGGTGCTTGTCTTGTTTACCTGGCATTTTCCCACAAGTACTCAGAAATCTCACATAGCTTCATTCATGGACCATGTTTCAGCATGCCTCCTCTTCTGAAGGACTCCCTGAACTCTGAGAGGAGGGATTTGATGGAAGCATCCCATTTAGCACTGTTCTAAGGACTCCCACTCTCTGTGTAATTCTAGCTATAGTTCTGCATCTTTTCCGGTCTGCTGTAGGAGGGAGCTTTCTCTGACAATGATTGAATACAGCACTGGTCTATGAGTATAGCAGAGTATGACTAAGAGTGATTTTATTGATACTTTTCTCTTTTAGAACAGTAGTCTTTGGTTTTACCCTAGGTCTTGGGGCTATTTGGTAGAGCTCTGGTACTTGATCAACCAGACAATGCAGGGTGTGGGTTCTGTCTCATAGAGTGAGCCATGAGTCAAATCAGACAACGATCGGCTACTCTCACACGTTCTGTGCCACCATTGCCATAGCATATCTTGCTGGCAGGACAGATTGTAGGTCAAAGGTTTTATAGCTGGGTTTGTGTTTAGCTTTCTTTTGGTAGCTTGCAAAGTACCTTCACACACCAGCAATACCAGAACACAGGGGTGAAGGCTCCATGTAGTCACCAGTTTGACTGCTGCATGTTGAATAAGTTGGGTGGGTGTTGTTCTCAGCAGTGTCAACTGTTGTCAGTCTGTGGAGAGCAATCCATAGTCTTAGCAACAACTTGGATTGTCTGGGGATTTCCATGGGACCCCTTCGGTTAACAATTCAACTGGATGCAACTCAGTTCCAGTACTGGAATCCTTGTTTGGTGACTAGAGATGGCCAGTTGGGGCTTTCTATCCCCAATTATTAGGAGACTTCATTAGGATCTCCTTCATATATTTTAGGAAGTTTCCACTGCACTAGCTTTCCATATCATCCCTCAAGCATTCCTCAATTCCATCTGTTTCACCCCACATTCCCTCCCCCAACCCTATCTCCCCTTCTTTTCCTTACTTGGTACTCCCATTTCCATCCCTAATTGCTCCTAGTGTACCTGTAAAATCTGTTCCCCCTCTCAAGAGAGATCCATCCCCCCCACCCAGTTCCTTTGTCTATAACTAACCTCTCTGGATTTATGGATTATAGGTTGATTATCACTTATTTAATGGCTGATATCCACTTAGAAGTTGAATACATGCCATACTTATCTTTCTGGGTCTAGGTTACTTCACTCTGGGTGTTTTCTTCTAGTTCCATCCATTTGCCTGCATATTTCCTGATGTTATTTTTTTAACAGCTGAGTAATACCATTGTGTAAATATAATACATTTTCTTCATCCATTCTTTCGTTGAGGGGCATCAAGGTTGTCTTTAGTTTCTGGCTATTATGAATAGAGCAGCATGAACATGGTTGAGCATGTGCCCTTGTAGAGCATCCTTTGGGTGTATGCGCAAGAGTGGTGTAACTAGTCCTTGAGGAAGATTGATTTCCGACTTTCTGAGGAATCACCATATTGATTCTAATTCTGACTAATCAAGTGTGCACTCCCACCAGCAATGGATGACCCTTACTCCATATCCTTGCCAGCATGAGTTGTCATCTGGGTTAGTAATCTTAGCCATTCTGACAGGTGTAAGATGGAATCTCAGAGTAGTTTTGTGAAATTGTAATATTTCTTTTTTTAATTATGAAGCTGTTGGCTGTTTGCTTGCTTTTTTATCAGCTAGCTCTGATTTGATTATTAACCTATAATTACTAATATATGTTTTATAAGAACTTATCTTTTTGAGGATGCATTCCTGAGCTAAAATTGTAATATTTTCAAAGCACATGAAAACAGACTAATTTATTGATCTTTAAGTATTTAATTGCTGACACTATTGCATTAGTTACTACTTTATAAATGTGTACCATTTTGAGTCTTTTTAAATAAAGTCATATATTCAAATACACCTTTTATTATTGTTCTCATCTAATAGTCTCACAATTGTCTCACAGCTTATGCCTTTCTTTTTTACCTTTGTTCCTCTCATAACAAACATATAGTTCCTTTGAGTATTTTGTGTTACACACTGATCTTGTTGATGTTGTGGATATATATAACTAATAGTATTCAGCTGACCACGTCTGAATTTGCAGCACTCAGGAGGTTGAGGCAGGAGAATTGCACAAATTCAAGGCCAGCCTAGGTTACATGGTGAGTTTTGGGCCAAGCAAGGTTGCAGAATGAGGCTCCCTGCCTTTAAAAGAACTAATAAATAATAATAAATAGTATTTAGTTTTTAAAGACTCTAGATACTATGGTTAATAATAGTCATTGTTTATTTTTTTAACTCTTTAGGTAGCTGCTGTAAGTACCATAGTAAACAGAGGACTGACACCGAAAGCTTTTGTGTTCAGGAACTATGGTCATTTTCCTGGCATCAACTCTCACTATTTAGGAGGCTGTCAGTATAAAATGTGGCAAGCCATCAGAGCCTCATCAGCTGCTCCAGGCTACTTTGCAGAATATGCACTGGGGAATGATCTTCATCAAGTAAGTTGACCTGTGTGACTGTCTTTAAAACCCTTAAAATCCCAATCCCGGCAGGAGCATCAGATAAACAGGCCAGCTTCCCGGCCTGTGTTCCAGAGCCTGCAGATCACCTGGGAACTGCACAGAGCTCCCAATCCCGGCGGGAGCATCAGGTAAACAGGCCAGCTTCCCAGCCTGTGTTCCAGAGCCTGCAGATCGCCTGGGAACTGCACAGAGCTCCCAATCCCGGCGGGAGCCAAGCACCCCAGACTCCAGATCTTCTCTCCCACCAACGATTCCAGGAAAGGAGAGGAGGCTGGGAGTACAGGGAAGTAGCTGTCCCTCTGGCATCATCAGGTAAACAGGCCAGCTTCCCGGCCTGTGTTCCAGAGCCTGCAGATCGCCTGGGAACTGCACAGAGCTCCCAATCCTGGCGGGAGCATCAGGTAAACAGGCCAGCTTCCCGGCCTGTGTTCCAGAGCCTGCAGATCGCCTGGGAACTGCACAGAGCTCCCAATCCCGGCGGGAGCCAAGCACCCCAGACTCCAGATCTTCTCTCCCACCAACGATTCCAGGAAAGGAGAGGAGGCTGGGAGTACAGGGAAGTAGCTGTCCCTCTGGCATCATCAGGTAAACAGGCCAGCTTCCCGGCCTGTGTTCCAGAGCCTGCAGATCGCCTGGGAACTGCACAGAGCTCCCAATCCTGGCGGGAGCATCAGGTAAACAGGCCAGCTTCCCGGCCTGTGTTCCAGAGCCTGCAGATCGCCTGGGAACTGCACAGAGCTCCCAATCCCGGCGGGAGCCAAGCACCCCAGACTCCAGATCTTCTCTCCCACCAAAGAGACCAGGAAACTACAGGAGCCAGGGAGACCAGGGGAGTAGCAGTTCCGGATCACATACAACAGGACCCAGCATAGGGTCCAGGGGACCAGGTAGGAGGCTAAGCGCCCCAGATTCCTGTTCTCCTTCTCTACCCACGGACCAGCATTTGGACAAGGCATAGAAGAACCACCAGATTACTGGACTTACTAGCACCCACCAAAAGGGAACTCTGGTCCCCAGACCAGGAAGGGGCTCTTTCTGCACCCACTAGAAGAAGAGATGGGAAAGAGACAATAAAAAAACACAGTCAGCAACAGAAAAACAAATATGACACCGCCAGATTCTAGAGACTCCACACCAGCAAGACCCCAATATTCCAACGCGAAGGAAGCAGAAGAGAACGACCTTAAAAGCACTTTCATGAAAATGATAGAGGCCCTAAAAGAGGATATTGGAAAATCCCTCAAAGAAATGGAAGAAAAAACAAACCAAAAAATGCAAGAAATGGAAGAAAAAACAAACCAGAAAATGCAAGAATTGGAAGAAAAAACAAACCAAAAAAGGCACGAAATGGAAGAAGAAATGAAGCAAAAAATGCAAGAAATGGAAGAAAAAGCAAAGCAAAAAATGCAAGAATTAGAAGAAGAAACATACCAAATAAGGCAGGAAATGGAAGAAGAAACAAAGCAAAAAATGCAAGAAATAGTAGAAAAAACAAAGCAAAAAATGAAAAAAATGGAGGAAGAAACAAACCAAAAAAGGCAGGAAATGGAAGAAGAAACAAAGCACAAAATCCATGAAATGGAACAAAAAGCAAACCAAAAAATGCAAGAAATGGAAGAAAGAACAAACCAAAAAATTCATAAAAGGCAACAAACGGACGAACAGATAAACAGAAAATTGCAAGAAGCAATGCAAACGCTGCAAGGGTTGAAAACTGAAATAGAGTCACTAAAAAAAGCACAATCTGAAGAAAGGCAGAAAATAGAAAAGCTGGACAAACAGTCAGGCACTACCAATACAAGCATTACCAACAGAATAGAAGAGATGGAAGAGAGAATCTCAAGTGTTGAAGATACATTAGGAGAAATGGATTTATCAACCAAAGAAAACCTTAAATCCAACAAATCCTTAACACAAAACATCCAGGAATTATGGGACACCATGAAAAGACCAAACCTAAGAATAATAGGTATAGAAGAAGGAGAAGAAATCCACCTCAAAGGGGCAGAAGGCATATTCAACAAAATCATAGAAGAAAACTTTCCCAACCTTAAAAAAGACATGCCAATGAAGGTACAAGAAGCCTACAGAACACCAAATAGAGTGGACCACAAAAAAAAATCCCTCGCCACATAATAATCAAGACCCCAAACATACAGAATAAAGAAAGAATATTAAGAGCAGCTAAGGAAAAAGGTCAAGTAACATATAAAGGCAGACCTATCAGAATTACACCTGATTTCTCCATGGAAACTCTGAAAGCCAGAAGGTCCTGGATAGATATTCTACCTACACTAAGAGACCATGGATGCCAGCCCAGACTACTATACCCGGCAAAGCTCTCAATCACTATAGACGGAGAAAACAAGATATTCCATGACAAAACTAGATTCAACCAATATGTGTCCACTAACCCAGCCCTACAGAAAATTTTGGAAGGAAAACTCCAACCCAAGGAAGCTAACTACAACCAGAAAAACATAAGCATTAGAGAATCCCTCTCTACCAACAGCCAAAAGAACAAAGGGGTGAATTTCCACCCATAATTCCACCAACAACAACCATCGCAAATCGAAGAAGGATGAGCAATCAATGGTCATTAATATCCCTCAATATTAACGGCCTTAACTCACCCATAAAAAGACACAGACTAGCAGAATGGATTCGAAGACAGAACCCTTCCTTCTGCTGCATACAAGAAACACACCTCACCCTCAAAGACAGACATTACTTGAGAGTTAAAGGTTGGGAAAAAATTTTTCAATCAAATGGACCCAAGAAACAAGCAGGGGTAGCAATCCTAATATCTAACAAACTAGACTTTAAAATAAAATCAATCAAAAGAGATGAAGGAGGTCATTACATAATCATCACAGGTGAAACCCACCAAGATGAAGTGTCTATCCTGAACATCTATGCCCCCAATACAAAGGCATCCACATTCGTTAAAGAAACATTATTAGAACTTAAATCTCATCTAAAGCCCCACACAGTTATAGTGGGAGATTTCAACACACCACTCTCACCACTAGACAAGAATACCAGACAGAAACTCAACAAAGAAGCAAAGGGTCTAATAGAAGTAATGACCCAACTGGGATTAACAGATATCTATAGAACATTTCATCCACATAAAAAAGAATATACCTTCTTCTCACCACCACATGGAACCTTCTCAAAAATCGACCACATACTTGGCAACATATCAAACCTCAGCAGCTACTAAAAAATTGGAATAACTCCATGCATCTTATCAGACCACCATGCCTTAAAATTAGAATTCAACAACAACACAAATTGCAGAAAACCTACAAACTCATGGAAATTGAATAATGCTCAACTGCACCATCCCTGGGTCAAAGAGGAAATAAAAAAAGAAATTAAAGACTTCCTCGAATTCAATGAGAATGAAGACACAACATACCCAAACCTATGGGACACTTTGAAAGCAGTGCTACGGGGAAGTTCATAGCACTAAGTGCTCACATGAAGAAACAGGAAAACAGTTATACCAGAGAATTAACATCACAGCTAAGAGCTCTAGAACACAAAGAAGCAAACTCCCCCAGGAGGAGTAGACGCCAGGAAATAATCAAATTGAGGGCTGAAATCAACAAAGTAGAAACCAGGAAAACAATACAAAGAATCAATGCAACGAAGAGTTGGTTCTTTGAGAAAATCAACAAGATAGACAAACCTTTGTCCAAACTTACCAAACAGCAGAGAGTGAACACGCAAATTAACAAAATCAGAAATGAAAAGGGGGACATAACAACAGACTCTGAGGAAATCCAGAGAATCATTAGGTCATACTTTGAAAACCTGTACTCCACAAAATTAGAAAATTTAAAGGAAATGGATGACTTCCTGGACAGCTATCATTTGCCAAAACTAAATCAAGAACAGATAAGCAATTTAAATAGACCTATAACCCCTATGGAAATAGAAGCTGTCATCAAAAGTCTCCCAACCAAAAAAAGTCCAGGTCCAGATGGCCTCAGTGCAGAATTCTACCACAAATTCAAAGAACAGCTTATACCAATTCTTCTCAAAGTGTTCCACACAATAGAAGCAGAAGGGTCTTTGCCAAACTCTTTCTATGAGGCTTCAATAACCTTGATCCCCAAGCCACACAAAGATACAACCAAGAAAGAGAACTTCAGACCAATATCCCTCATGAACATTGATGCAAAAATACTCAATAAAATACTGGCAAATCGGAACCAAGAACACATCAAAACAATCATTCACCACGATCAAGTAGGTTTCATCCCAGGGATGCAGGGATGGTTCAACATACGAAAATCCATCAACGTAATCCACCATATAAACAAGGTGAAAAACAAAAATCACATGATCATCTCACTAGATGCTGAAAAAGCCTTTGACAAAATCCAACACCCCTTCATGATAAAGGTCTTGGAGAGATCTGGGATAACAGGGACATACTTAAACATAATAAAAGCCATATACAGTAAACCAACAGCCAACATCAAACTAAATGGACAGAAACTCAACGCAATTCCTCTAAAATCAGGAACAAAACAAGGCTGTCCACTCTCTCCATACCTTTTCAACATGGTACTTGAAGTTCTAGCTATAGCCATACGACAACAAAGGGGGATCAAGGGGATACAAATTGGGAAGGAAGAAGTCAAACTTTCACTGTTTGCAGACGATATGATAGTTTACATCAATGACCCAAAGAACTCTACCAGGGAACTCTTACAGCTGATTAGCACCTTCAGCAAAGTGGCAGGTTACAAGATCAACTCAAGAAAGTCAGTAGCCCTACTATATACAGATGATAAAAGGGCTGAAAGAGAAATCAGAGAAACATCACCCTTTACAATTGCCACAAACAACATAAAATACCTTGGGGTAACGCTAACCAAACGAGTGAAAGACCTGTATCGTAAGAACTTTGAATCTTTAAAGAAAGAAATTAAAGAAGCCCTCAGAAAATGGAAAGATCT